TAGAATCATGCAACGAACTTGGTAAAAAACCGATGACTCATTGACCGACCTCTTGAAAGTTCCCTTCACCACTTGTATTTGTATTAAAAATCAATTAAGTGAATAGAGGAGGAAAATTAGAAATTCAGGCATAATGGTGTATTAAAAGCACATCCAAATATTTTTTTTGATTCACTTCCAAAATCTTGAAATTGATAATTAAATTTAACTGAATTAGAGAGCTGAATGTGTATGAGAATTTTCTCTCTTGATCACAAAATTTTACTTGTTAATTACAGAAGCTAATTACAGATCTGTAATGTAATGTAATTACAGATAGGACTTTTATCAATTTACTTACATCTTAATAATTCAGATAACTTACCTCATTCCATGCATTTAAAAAACAATCAAGCACAAAATTCTTGTGATCAATCCAATTACAGAAAGATATATAAATGTAATCATGTTTCATTCAAATAGCTAAATTACAATCAGGGTTATTAACCCCAGTTTCAAGTCCGGTGGCTATTGCAGATACATTTTATCCGATTACATGAGCCAAGCATTATCCCTGGAGTTGAGACCCTCCTGGAACCTACCCAACATCTATAAAGTGGGTACTCATAATTAAATAATGAATTAAGAGTAAAAAAAAAACCTGAAAAACACCGTCTTGCCGAACCGTTGACCAAGAAACAGTAGTAACTTACTTTCTGAGAATTGTTATGGTATGTTTTTTCCTAAATCATGTCACTAGTGACGTGGCTATTGTTTAACATGTAAGGGCTTCAAATTGGGTATTGGTTTCTATTGAATACATGATACTAGGTGTTTATTGGTTATAGATTTTTTTTTCTTCTTAATAATGATGAAAAATTTAATGTTAGTAAATTTATTAACAAATATTCTTTGTTATGTATTATGTATCAGAAGAAAAATTTATATAAGTGTTGATAGAATATATTATTGCAATGTCCAAACGTTTTTTACTGATTACATAGTAACTCTTCCACTTCAAGCCATCCAGTGGTTTTTGCAAGTCATTTTTAACATGGTTAAACAATTTTCCCAGCCCAAATTAATTAAAATTAGTAAGCATTTCTTTGGTAATTTCATGAGCTGATAGGAAATAGTGCCACCAATTTCTGTGCACTTGAATTCTACATTGTGAGTTGGGAATAGCAGAACTTCTTCTAAAAAATCAATTCTAGACAATTATTTTAATCCTGTTTTGAGTGTACATAATTCTATCTTAAATAATATAAGTTTATTTTTTTTTTTATATATATGTTATACAGATAATAAGTGAATTTTCTCTTGCTTTGATGGTAAATCATTTAGTTTTGTTTAGGTTCAAAAATTTAACTCCTTTCCTATAGGCCAACTATACAGAAAGAAAAGAGACTTGTTAAGATAGTGGAATATTAGATACAGGTAAGACAGCAAAGAGGAAGCACTGACATATTAAATAAATAAAACAAATCCCTAATTAAATAATCAATAGATGAATATCTATTGATGTTTTATTCATGATTTTTTATTCCTAATTATTAAACAAAAAAACAGAATTTGGATTCACTCTTTCTGGGAGAATAGCCTATATTTTTATGGTACTAGAATGAATGGAAGCTTAGATTACTAGCGCCAAATTAAAAAACAAAAGTGTATATAAATGTTGTAACCTTCCTTTTTAAAGCCAAGAGTTGCAAATGGATTTATATTAATAGTATCCATCCAGACACTTTGGCTTGAAAAACGAATAAATATTACAACATATTTTCTTATGTGTCAAGAATAATAATGAATAAAATTCCAGTTTTTATAACATTTATTGTAAGGAAGATGAATATATACAGTTGCTTAACTTAATTAACACTTCAGCATATTTCACAACTTTGATCATTGTCAGATAAATCTTGTGATTTTTTTAACCAGTTACCATTTAATATCCACTTTACTTGTTATGTTTATTAGCCTATGGGCCCACATAGCTTTTTTCCTTAAATGAAGTTATAGCTCAACAGATGTTTTTTAATTTTAATTGGCACTACTTGTAAACTTCATTCAATCGGTGGAGCCTCATCAGGTTCACCAATAGATGGTGGGTTCAGATCTTCAACTTTATTGTTGCATTGACTTTCATCGGGTAGATCTTTCAACTTAGTATTATTAACCTTCGTATTTTTTTTTCCTTTTTTGTTTCTAATAGCTGAGAGCAATGGTCTTATTTTTGCTGCTGATAGATAGTGGTCTGAGGCAAAATGAGCTCCTCTGTACACTCGTACGTCATTTAGAATATACTTCTGCTGAGCACTAAAAAGAAGGTGGTCTACCTGTTTAATAGTAAGTCCATCAGGAGAGTACCAAGTAGCCTTATGTATATCCTTGTGGGGAAAGATTGTACTACCAATGACAAGATTTTGAGAGATACATAAATCTAATAATCGACAACCATTATGATTACTTGCATCATGAAGGCTATGCATACCTATATAATCTGCGTTCTTAGGTTCTTTACCTACTTCAGCATCAAAATCACCTCCGATGATCTTAATATCAGCAGCTGGACTTGATGTAATTGTGTTTTCAAGTGATTTATAGAATTCTTCTTTTTCATCTTCATTAGAAGCCTCAGGTGGTGCATGACAACTGATCAGAGTATAGCTGCAGAACTTATCTTTAATCCTAATTGAACAAATTCGTGGACTAACCGGTCTGAAGTCCATGACAAATTGCCTATACATACCAGTAACAACGAAGCCTGTTCCTAGAATTTGTGAAGAGTTATCACAACTATAGTAAATGGTATGATTGCTTCTTTTAACTGATCCTTGACCAGTCCAGTTTATTTCTTGGAGAGCAGTGACATCCATCATATATCCATCCAAAACATCGAGGAGCGACTCTAGAGCTCCGGGTCTATTCAATGTTAAAACATTCCAGAATCCAAAAGTAAAATCCGTTTGACGAAGCCTACGTTTAACCTTTTTTGACAGTCCGGCTTTCTTCTTATTTTGACTTTTCGTAATAAATGGTGATTTAAGGGGAGAGGGTTATTAGCCCAGCTGCCCCCGATTCAGGTGGAGGGGCTGCCTCCTCGGAGTCTCCTGACTGACTCTCCTATCCAGGAAGGCTACCTAGGGAAGATAACCCTAGGGTGTGTACTGAAAATGATCTTAGTCTGTAATGTGGGAATGATTGTAGTGTGCTGTAACTTGTGTTTAGTGTACTGTGTGGGTGTAAGTGTACTGTTCCCCCAACCTGGAGGACCAGAGGCTGACTGCGGTACAATGACCGGGCGATGGGACCGCCACCTCCCTACGCCATAAGGACCACAAATGCTAATTAAAATTGTACAAATTTTTTTTAAACCTCAAGTAGTTCAAACTTCAAAATTCTTAATATATATTAGAAATTTCGGACTCACTTAGTTCATTTTTAAGTTCCATTTTATTTAGAGACCATCATACTCTCCTAACAAAACTTTATGAAATTAGGCATTACCATTATCTTAAAAATCTATATAGATCTGTATCCTTTTATATCTAAAGAATATTATAAAATGGAAATAATTAAATATGTTATTAGTCTATTTAATCTTTTTGTTAATTTAGTAAAACCTAAACAATAGTATGATTGTGTGTCCTTCTTATTTGGAAAACTGTCAATAACTGGCATACTTCAAATAAGAAGGAAACAATTATTTCATGTAAGAAAAATAATAATAAAAAAATGTAAATACAACAAATGGATATAAACTTTTAAATACCACAATAATTTCTAATTTTTATGAAGTTTTGTTTCGAGAATATGAAAGTGGATTTGAAAATGGACAGAATGCATCCATAATGTTTAACAATGTAATGAATAAAGAATGAAGGATGATAATTTAGACACCGGATTTTGTGCATTTTGTTCAAAATGTACAAAATAGTGCAATAAAAACCCAAAAGTGTAAAATTGCATACATAACATCCAAAAATCATATTTTTTGTTTAATTTGTAATATTAATTCTTGTTTACTCTTATGTTAGTAGTTATAGCCTCAAAATTGCTGTTAGGTAAAACGTGAGAAAAATCTAATTCTAAATTAAAATGTACAACAATTAACTTAATTCCACATGAAAGTATATTATTAAGTCAAAATCATTTATATTTATTTTAAAAACGTGCATTTTTTAATTTAAGCTTGATTTTACAGCTGTAGATCAATTTTAAATTTTGAAAAAGTGGATTTTGAGTTAAGCTCCCTTAGCTTTGATTAAAATCAACAATATTTCGCGTAACCCAGCGGAGTTTTGTCAAAGTTGGCCAAGCGGTAATATAACGTTTGAAAACTGGAAAATAAATATACACGTTTTAGAGCTACGAATGACAGTACCATGAGGATAAGAAGTTTTTAAGTGGCTACATACACTTGCATTCAATTAAGATATTAAATATGTTACCCTAATTATACTATTATTTATACAATAAAATGTGAGTCTACTTGGATAATAATTTTGTAGCCTACATAAAACAAAGTGAGTCTAAAATATCCTTTCATCCCAGAAAGATAATTTAACTGTCCTTATGTGATCCATGCGTTGGACCATTTCTGTCCTGAACTACAAATCTAATACAATAAATAATAAAATTAAATGAATATTTTCATACATACCTGTCTACATGTTATACAGGAATTTTTGTTCAAGTATTTTACTTTATGGAATTGAAATTGATATTTACTTCTTAAATTACAAAATATGCAATATCATGAAACAAAAACCAAAAACTTGCAATTTAGTCCGAAAAGGCCAAAACTTGCAAAATGAAATTTCAATATGTTATTCTACAGATCCTGAAACGGATAAATTGTCCAGTTTGAAGTTTTTACACCTAAGCGAACAAAATCTGCAATAACATGAAAACCCGGTCTCTAGTGATAATAGTTCCTGAAATTTCAAAAAAATTATATAAATTTAACACCCTTTGAAAACAGAGTGAATGTTATTTTTTTCATGAATTAAATAATGACTGTTTGCTCTTATTTTTATATCAGAATTAGTTTACCGTAAATAACTATCTTTGTTTTTCTTATATTGACCAATCTCCTTTCATGCTTAGATGATTGACACTAAACTGAAACTTACACAATTTTAAATATTTAGGTTTCAAACAATAAAAAGGGCACAATTTATTTATGGCAAAGAACATAAACACTGATTACCTTGAAGAATTTTTATTATTTATATATTTAGGGAAGAAAGAACATTTTTTCTACATACTCACGTGTTAAAATCACATATCATTTCCTAAATTCTTGAATAATTAATAAAACAAAGAAGTTATTCGTATCATAGTCCACTCCTTATTGAAATCACACAATTTTTTCTCCTGTTCATAAAAATATCAATTTAATTAAAACTAATAGAGGTTTAAATGGTTTTCAAATAAGTCATAATTAAAATTACTTAACGTAAATCTTGCTGTAGAAATTATAGAAATTTTATTATTTTTTTAAACAGAAACATAATCAAAAAAACAAAAACCTATTACTTAAAATAAAAATATAATTGTCACCATGAAAATTTTTAAGGAACAAATATTTTTTTTTTTTAAATTATACATATTAAGAAATTTGGTTTTAAGAAGCAAATAATTTTTTTTTTCCTTTTTTAAATTATACATATTAAGGTATCTGTTTAGGATGTGATATATTATAATGTAGGAATAAGCCAGGTACCAATCTCAAAGCAGTTTGTGTTACCACTTCTTATTTAAATAAATAAGACGTTCAGAGCTAACAGACTCCATAACCAAAGTTAATGCTTATCAACATTAATTGAATCCTATTGTTTTAGAGGATAATTTACTTTTTATTGTAATAGTATGAAGACTAAATTAAATATAGGCAATAATTTTATAATTTAAAAAACAAAAGATTAGTGCCTCAATTATAATTTTTTATTTTTGTAATTAGTGCATTTTTTTAATCAATTTATACGAAAGAAAGAGACCATCTGTACACTGCCTTATTGATCAGTGTATCTAAAATATGACAATGCCTATGAAACTGAAATTTTTGAAATGTAGTTCTCCTTATGCTGTATATGTGTAATAGATTTGTTTCACATGGTAAAAATCGTACAATACAAATTTTTTATTTCTAAAACAATAACAAGTGTTCCCCGAATAACTCAAAAACTACGTCACCAGAAAAAAATGTAGGTCCTCATTTGAAACGTAATTAAAATATAAAAATAAATTTTGAATGGTAGTTTTCTAAGGCTCTTACAAAGTAAATTAAAATGTAGCAGGGGAAATAAAAATTATTTTCTGGTATGGAATGGCTCATCCAGTATCCTATCATCTAACTAATAAGTCCACAAATAAGTCTTGACCAACTCATGAGTGAAATCTAATTGGTTATTTTTGTGTTTTATTTTGAAATAAATGTAAAAGCTATTCCCAAGAAAACGTAGAACATAAGTTAATATAGTATCTCGCCATTACTTTCTCTTTATTTCAATACTGCAATTCAGGTCTTGGTCTACTAGGTCAGTGTCTTCCTTAGGCTACATAAGAAGTTTGTTTTATTCATAAACATTCAAATTTTTTACAACACAAATCAAATTAATTAAAACAAATACTTTAACAAAATTTAGCTCTTGGAATTATCCTTCGTAAAAGAAACTTACCATCTTAGGAAAACAAATAAAAAGCACCTTGAACACTGGATAGTAACAGGCAGGTTTACTGCTCTGTAGAAAACACAAAATAGCAAACATGACCAAATTACATCAACACTAAGAAGGAATGTTTAATAATTCATTACCAAACGTTTTTGAGTAAATAAACTTAAGATGCAGAATTTCAGAGATCCAAGAATAAGAGGAACACGTTGAACAAATTATGGTAAGAATTGACAATTAATTAAAATAAAGGCTGTATCTTTCTTATAGAATTATTCATGGTTAAGGTATTGGACTGGTAAGCAGAATAGGAACATAGACAAGAAGTAAAACAATAACTGCTTCTTCCACCAATGTTTTATTTGGTCTTTTCAAAAATATCTGTTTACATTTGCGAGATTTAAAATAAAGAAAGTAAAAAACATAATTATTACCCTTCTTGAACTTTTCCTTTGTACAACGTTTCATACAAATCAGTTCTCCGCTGTTTTCGTATCGGGATTTGTTCCCTTATAGCCTTGCATACATTTAAATCTAAAAAAAAAGCAATACGATTTCTTAAATATCCAGAAGTTTTAAAAAATAGTCATATTAAATTTATAATTATTTATAAAGGTTGAGAGATAGTTGAAGGTTGTTCTACATATCATGGGTGATAAATATTCAGGACGCCGTCATTATAAAGTTTTTATTAGTGTCGAAGTTTCAACCCAAACATGTGGGTGATCATCAGCATCAGGGTGTGGTTCGAGCACTGAATGTATTCAAGTACTGACCTGTGGTTCAAGTCAGTGTGGTTCAATTAAGTACTTGAATACCTTCAGTGCTCGAACCACGTCCTGATGATGATCCACATGTTTGGGTTGATACTTCGAAACTAATAAAAACTTTATAATGACTGCGTCCTGAATATTTATCACCCATGATAGAGAGATAGTGTTGACCATAGATCAAATAGTAGTAGAAGTTGGTAGTGGATGTGGTCAAAGATGGAAGTAAAAACAAATAGAAAACTTTATTCTTCTGTTAGCTGACATTTCGGCTCAAGATTCAGACATTCATTAGAACAAAAATGAAATAACAACCAGTGTGAAAAATAGTATAATAATATAAGAAGATGAAAAATGTATAATAAAACAGTACAAAAAAATTACATAATGAAAATGTTAATTATAAATCAAATATAAATGTATAAATAATAAAAATAGAATAAAATAATGCAATATCAATGAAAAAATACACTTGAAAGTGGTCATTAACCTAACTTAGTATAGTGTGACTTTTTCTTGTCTCTGAAATGTAAAATGGTGCTATGGACCATTGAGACAGAAATAAGGCAAAAGAAAATGGTAGCAGTGCGAATGTATTATGTCATTTTTAAAGAAACAATATTGGGTATTTAAATGCTAAGTAAAATATTTTCACTTTTATAGATACTTTCCAGGCATAAGTGAATCAATCAAAGCCAAAAGAATATCCTGGATACTTTTTTCCTTGTCAACAAACACATTGGTTCTCATTATATTGAACAGGGTGGTTTAAAAAAGTATTTTGTCAAAATACACTAGGTATTCCTCAATGTAAACGAATTACAGAATAAAGCAGAGCCTATTATTAACTTCCAATGAGTAGTATGGGTAAGAGGAATAATTTTTTTTGTTTGTTTTCAAAACACTCACCGAATAATTAAAGGTAACAAACTTAAAAGTCAATCCAGCTGTTTGCTCAAAAAATCTTTACATTATTTTTAAAAAAAATTGATTTAACATATTTTATTCAATTACAGGTCAGTGTTTTGAGTTTATATTCTTTCAAAACACTCATGAGAATAAATAATTCAAGAAATAACACTTAAAACAAACTTAAAAATCAATCGCTCTAAAAACTATTTCATATCTTTAAGCAAATTAAGTAAACACATTTTATTCAATCACAGGCCATTGATTTTAGCCGATATTGTTTCAAAACAATCAAGAGATCTCATCGAATAATTTGAGCCAATTCATATAATCTATATTTTTTGTGTATAGATTATCATAAATAATAAAAAAAATTGGTAAATAAAAAACTAACCTATATCAGCGATCAGTGTGGTTTCCTCAGCACCAGCTTTGCTAACAACCTTTCCCCAAGGATCAATTAACACTGAATGGCCCCAAGCAACATAATCAGCAGAATCATCTCTTGCCCCACAAATACCAGCAGCAAATACCTAGCAAAGATAAATATCACACAAAAATAAAAGGTCATCTGATGACATACAACTGACTGACGTAGTTATACTTGATTATCAACAGCTCGAGCTTTGATGAGGTGTTCCCAATGCAATGGTCCTGTAGTCATGTTAAAGGCCCCAGGGTAAAGAAGTAAATCTACTCCTAAAAAAAAAAATATTTAAATGAGGTTTTATATGAAAGGCCATAAACCATAGTTTATATCCAATTAATTTTATCACTGAATACTTTATCACAATTGTTTTTTATACAGACACTATTGAAAAAATTAATACACGGAAAGTTTGTAATAATTAAATTAGTCAAATAAATTTCTATTAGCCCCATTTCCTTTCCTAGATAAATGACAGAAAACCCATAACGAGTCTGTCACAAATTAATTATTGAAGGAAGCTAGTCGACTGTTCTACATTCATGGGTGATAAAAATATTCAGGACGTAGTCTTATACAATTTTTTTTATTTGTGCCAACGTTTCAACCCAAACATGTGGGTCATCATCAGGGCTGAAAATGTTAAAATACAATCAGAGATATAATATTATACGACCGATAATGGTAAATAATAAACTATACTGATTGATGGTGGTGAATCTTAACTATTATTACAATACACAATATTAAAAATGAAAATTATAAATATTATTTGGCTAACCATTGTATACCTTCAATCAAACTATGTTATATTTATATTGATTGGCACCTCTTTCTTATCTTAATTTCATTACTAGCCAATAGTCACAATTCTTTAACCATAAAAAATAACACACATCTTGAATATTTAGCCAGCATATTATTTACATTCTACAAATAGAAATATTACCTCCCTCCTCTTCTCTGACTATGTTTACCTACATTTTGCTATCTGAAAAAGGACAACTGGGAAATCCTCCACCCGACCCTTACACTTACCTACTAAATGTGTCAGTACTTGAAAGCCTTCAGTGCTCGAACCACGGTTAGTAAGAGAAAACATTATACAAAATTTTTATAAATGAATTATATACATTATTTTTAGTTTGTATAAGTTTTTACATATTTCATTTTTAATATTTTTTATTGTAATAATAGTTAAGATTCATGTACCATCAATCACTATAGTTTATTATTCACCATTATCAGTCGTATAATATTATATCTCTGATTGTATTTTAAAATTTTCAGTCCTGATGATGAGCTACATGTTTGGGTTGAAACGTCGGCACAAATAAAAAAAAATTTATAAGACTGCGTCCTGAATATTTATCACCCATGATCTATTATAATTATTTTTGAATTATCAGACAAAAGTTAAGCTGAATAGACAATAAAAATACTACCTAAATCCTTGTATATGGTGGCTAATTCGTGAAATCTCAAATCATAGCATATTCCTATTCCTATTTTGCAAGCACCTACATCTATGACAGAAATATTTTTTCCAGGTGATAAACTATCGGACTCCTTGAATGTTACGCCACCAGGTATATCAATATCAAAGAGATGAATCTATATATACAAATCTTATAAGTGAATAGTAAGATTACTCATACCTAAAAACTAATAAAGCAAAAAAATATGAATTCATAAATATATTAGATACTAATAACACAAACAGAGTTATTAAAATATACAATATTATTGTTAAAAAAGTTGTCTAAATATAAATCACAACACCAGCTAAAATTTGATGTTCCGATAAAATTGTATTCAGTTTGATTCAGTTATTTATAAAATGTTTATTCAATAATAAAATTAAGTAAATCCATAAAGAAAAAAGCTGGCATCCCCTAACATATCAAAACTGAAACTCATATAATGATACAGCTTTCATTATTGGGTATAAAATTTCAATTATTGGCTTACACAATGGGAAAACTAAATGAATAATTGTAACCAAATGGCATTTGGGCAGAAGAAACCCTGTAATATTGCCAAATATATTATTTGCACTAAATTATGCCTTTGAGTAAATCACAACTATGATTTCCAAGTACTTGGGAGATGAAATAATCTTTGATGGGGATCATGTCCGTTGATGTTATAATAATTACTTTATAGAAAAAAACAAAAACCTTTAATACAATAGAAACCAGCAGCATACAAAACTTTTAGCTTACCTTGCTATACTTTCCAACCAAACTGCCTTGAGGATTCCATATTGTACAAGTATTAAACAATTTGCCATTATCCTTTTCTGGGATTGACCCACCAACAAGAAAAACTTCATTTTCTTTAGCAGCTTTTGATAGAGCAATACAGGTTTCACCATTTGGGATTTCTTCAGAATATTCTCCAAAGTATTCTAAAATTAAAAAAAGTTACAAAAAAAGTCAAAAAACCTAATCTGTACTAAATATTTGAAATAAATATATGAACAAGTTCAAAAGACATGAACTAATCAAGTATGATTGTCTTATGAGCATATGTAGCGAGCGATAGTCAATAGCTATTTATTTAATACAAAACTCTTAAACTAGAATATGTGAAACAATTCTGACATTAATTTTACATCCTCCAACTTATTGGTTTAATTAAATAACAAATTTAATAAAGATCTTATATGGACAAGACTTTTTTGAATTTGCTGTTACCTGACTAGCTTTTAAATTAAATCAGTATTAACTTTCTATGTACATATATATGTATGTATATATATTGAAGGTGCAATATAAATCTAATAATGTATAAGAACAAAGAAGGTGCAATAACAAATATAAATACAAGATTAAAGTTGTACATTTATTTTCAACGAGCAAACCAATATAATCTACCACATTTGAGGACTTAAAACTCCCTTCCGCAATTCTCTTGATAGGTGTTCCGATTCACGAAGATCCCTTCTTCTATGTCAACAAATTATTGTCCAAAACAAGTTGCAAGTGAAAGATAATCACAGATTGATCAGCATACAGGTAAGATCTATTGTAATTCGCTTTGCTCTTAAGCCCATAATATAATCAGACAACCATCTTTAATTAGCCCATTATTTTCAAATTACATCCATTGTTTCTATAGAGATAAAAAAAAAAAGTGGAAGGGCTGGCAAAGATAATTGAAAAGAAGGGTTATTAATGATTTTGTTTTTTCGTAGTAACAAATCCATATCATCGATTTGTTGAAAAAATTCATCAATTTATAAAAGTATTTTGATTAATTTTCTCTGTGTGAAATTAAAACATTGCAAACTTAATGTGACTAATTTTGACATTTAATAGTTTAATCTTATTTTGGTACACTCAATGAGTTTACTTCATATACTTTCCTATATAAAGTAAGTATAATTTCAATGAGTTTCTGCATGTTCGTAATTCACAAATATGTTTTCAAAAGTGTATTTAGTGACTATTTGGATTATTGATGAAATGTGTTTGTACTATGCATCTCCTCAACCTTCGCAAGAAATGCATTCTAATTTTCCCTCGTGAAAGTAAAATTGACTAATGTTAGATTTTTAACCTGAATAGTTTATAGATTTTAAAACAGGAATTTAGTCTGAACAACACATTTAATTATATGGTAATACAATAAGTGTTTTTGATTTGTATATACTTTATATGATTTTGATATTTTAATTTTTTTAATGTGGTTCATGTCATGTTTTAGACCATTATAATGGATATATGTATATTATAACCTTATTATCTGTCTTTAGATATTTTCACTCTTTATTTTAGATGATGGAGAGATGGTTGACCATTGATATAATATGAGGAGTTGATCGGGGGGGGTGCGGTCAAATTAATACTAAATTAAATAAGTAGAATTATTTAATTTTGCCGACGTTTCGACAGACTTTGTCGGTTATCATCAGTGAGTGTTTCAACTGCCTCCCGCAGTGCTACATCCTATGCCCTGATGAAGACCTATAAAGTGGGTCGAAACGTCGGCAAAATTAAATAATTCTACTTATTTAATTTAGTATTAATTTGACCACACCCCCTGATCAACTCCTTCTCACATTATTTTAGATATTAAAAAAAAACTTAAATTGTAATTTTTAATCCCTCCATAATCTGATTTCGATTTTAAAACTTTTTTTATTATACAACAGTATATTTAAATATATTACTGATAGATTATTAATCAAGTAATTAGTAAGTTTAGTATATTTAGAGTTCAGTTACTGTATTTTTCATGATGTTTTTTTTACTGCATATTTCAGTGTTTTTTACTGCATATTATACAGCATATTCTCTGTTTTTAGAGCATAAAAATCTGGACCTTGTTCATGACCTAATACATTACCATTAAACTTTTATTTTATTTTGCAAACAAAAGGATTGTGATTAAATGTTTGTATTATAATATCTATCCACCAATAACAGAAAGGATACACTAAATGCAAAAAATAAATATAGACAAATAGTCCAGAATGTATTATGATGTATTAATATGATTAATTAGAATTGAAATCAACAAAGGAATGGTCAGTAATCTATATGATGAAAACTAAATGAATACAGAAACTATTATAAAACAAAAATATACAAAACTAAGTAATTACAAACAAAAAAACAATACTTGTTCCGTAGGGACTATTGAAACATTCCGGAAGAACTACTAAGTTGCAACCCTTCTGTTTGGCTTCGGAAATCATTTTCCTGGCACGTGCTACATTTTCTAACTTATTTTTACCAACTGTCATTTGGATTAAAGCAATTCTGATATCTGAAACATACATAAATAATGTTTAAAATAAATAACATAGTAATAACACATTAGGTTGTCAAACATTTTTGCAACAACACGGTAGCAATAATTATCAATAACAATAATTAAATTAAAATTCAACTATTCTTTATTTTATTGAAGGAAGCTAGTCGACTGTTCTACATGTCATGGGTAATAAATATTCAGGACGCTGTCATTATAAATTTTTTTTTACTTGAAAACCAGTACTTGAAAACATTCACTGCTCGAAGCACACCCTGATGATGATGAACATATTTGGGTTGAAACGCCGGCACTAATAAAAATTTTTTACAATGACAGCGTTCTGAATATTTATCACCCATGATATTCATTATTTTCTTTACATGTCTTTGAAGTAAAAAATATTTGAATACATTAAAAATGGTCAACTATCATATAATATAATACAAACCAATAAATCAACAAAAAATTATAAAATCAGTTAATTAATTAATGTGCTTTTATTTTACATAAATTAAAATTACTAATTCATAACTCTCAAAACTGAAAAGCCTCTAAAAATAATAAAACAATTTGAATGTTAAATAATGCTTGCCACAGTTCAGAACAGCATCAATAAAAAACATACATTGTGTAAATAGCTAAACTAACACCTTTCTGGAACTGTAAAATAATTTGAGCAATACACTATATCATTGTGTTATTAATATTAGAATGTTTACATTTTCAATTAACTCATTTAAATTTCAACTAACTAAATTAAATTGTAATTTCATTTTATCATAAAATGCTATCATCCTCTCGTTAGACTTTACTCCTACTAACGACCAACAAGCAGCTAAAACTTCAACTTCAGCTAAATAATATTTCAGAACTTGAGTTATCAAAATTAAAGATATTGCTTAGCATATATGGCTCAAAGATGATGCAAAGGGTAGGATATTTGCTATGTAAATGTAATTAATATAATTGCATTTCAGAAATCCTAATGTTAAGGTGAAGTTATCAGGCAAGTAACTGTCAGCTAAAATAGAAATCATTATTGATCAAGAGGTGAATTAAAAGTGATAAACGAAGAGCAAGTAAAGGCCTCATCTTAACTTTACAAAATGAATCATTTAAACTGAAAATTAACAAAATTACAATCACAGAAAATAAGCGAGCAATTTTAAATAAGGTCGTTTAACTAATATGCAACAAAGATGTGTGTTTAGACAATGTTTTTCCACAGAAATTATAAATAAACTAATTACTACAAAATACCAATCCTCATTATAGAATTATTATTATAGAGTTACTATAATTATTATTTAATCATAAGAGTATTTTTGATAAAAGCATTAAAATACAATCAGCTCTCATGAATTTTTTGTATGACCTGAAATAAAAAACAACTAATTCAAAATACAAGTAATATTATAAAAATATGACAATCGCATGATTCAATTACAAATTTAGTTTCATTATGAATAATTGGAAAGAAAAACAAAACACTTTTCAAAAAGTACTTACTGGTTAATGATGCCATCTTCAATCGTTAAAAGTTACTTTTTAAAATGAATTTTCAACTACTATATTGTCTGAATACTGATCATTAAAACAATTCCTTAAACAGCCAATCAACAAATCTCTTAATCACAATTATCATATCAAATGATAAAAAACCTGAAGATTTATATTACCTCCACACACAACAGCTGACGTGTTTTTCCCATTGTCAACTTCTGATGTATTCTGATTTCTTGTCCAGCAACAGTTTCAAACAAATCACAATATTATGTGGTAAATAATAAAACAAAACAAAACAACATAAGGAACCGTTATTGTAGACATTGGGGCAGATATTAACTGTCTACACTTCATTGTTAAAGCAGACAATAGCATGTTGAGTGTTTAAAAAAGTAAGAGAGAACGCGGGAGAACCAACAGCTGACAAACCAGTTCCTACCTCTAAAATGGCGCCCGCGAATAAAACAATGAATACATCGATGGTAGGTGAGAACGATGGGTGAGAAGCGTCTCGATTGTTGAAACGTCAGTTTAGGCATGGTCCTGGGCAGTAGCCAGCTTTATTTAGTATTATTAATTCCATATTTCTAGCAAGGAATAATTTTTTGCAACCCCTGAGGGCAAGATTTAATCTTTTGACTCTCATAAGCTGGTGAGTTATAGCCGCCTCCTCTTCTTGCTATTAGTAAAGGGAGGGGGGGAGGTGGTTCGGTCTAGCAATTTCTCCGAAAAAATTATCTTTTTGTCATTTTTAGATTTATAGTATAACACCACTCATGAAAATTATTAATATTAATGTTTATCAAATAAAGGAGACAAATTCATTGGATTGTCAGTTGTGAAGCTTTATAAGTTTTAAACAAGTGATTGCTCATGTCTCTCTACAAGCTAATAATGGACAGTGGTCAGATCAAGAAACTGTTATAATATGAAGTTATTTATGATATCCATTACCATTATTCATCATTGAAATTATTGCGACTTTATTTACGTATAAGGGGTAGTGCAATGGGTGAGCATGAACTTCCAGAACTCAAAGACCCAGGTTCCGACGACTAAGGTCATGACTTGAGTCCGGCTGATGAACAAGTGTGCCCAGAAAGGGGTTTCATGGCCAAAGTTGCGCCATCAAAATTTTTAAGGGACCGGCATTTTGACAGTGTTATGAATTTTCGGGATGAAAAGTTTCATACTAAGAAACAAGGAGAAAACGTAAAACAGACCACAGCAATTTTAATTGTATATGATCTACGATTATTCTGATTCTACCTACGCTTGCTCTGTTTTGAAGAAAATATGAGCAATAAAATATTTTGGGAGTGGGAGGAGGAGGGGGGATATTCTTGTGGCATCGAGGTTGGGGGATGGGGAGGGTACTCCTGCTGATGACTAGTAATTTTCATCAGCCGTGAATCGACCTTGGAGTCGGGAGACTCTCTTAGAGCACACCCAGCCTTTATAAAGTGGGTACTCTCGATTAAATAATTAATTAAGGGAGAAAACCTGGCGGTTGAGCGTGATATTGACCCAATCCTCTCCATACACAACCGTTGGTAGTACTATCAAAGTAACAGTACTTCCTCCCATAGTACTGAACCTAAAACCCTTCATGGATTGTAGTGGTACTTTTTTTTTTGGGGAGGGGTTAATAGGTACATATAACTATTGAAGACTGTCCTCTCTCTTCCACTCATCATCTGTTTTAATTATTCGTCATACATGATCAGCACAATTTAGCTGTTGGGATACGCAGAGGATCTTGACATTAATGCAAGATTCGAATTTGCCTTCAGAGAAGCGGTTATTGGTCTTGAAGAAGAAGCAAGAAAACTATACTTGGCTAACAATAAAACCATGATGAATCTCGGGAGTCTTTGATGGGTCGGTCACTTTGTGAGAATGGAGGATGACAACATTACTAAGAAGATTTTGACTGATGATCTTCTCGGCAAGCGGAGAGCTGGTCAGTCTAATGTGAGATGGACGGAATGTGTCGCTGCGGACGTCCTTCTTGGCATCCAAAGAGCTGCTGCAACAGACCGAGCCGAATGGCGAAGGTTTTTAGAGGAAAACTAAACTCGGTGACGGGTCCTAGCGCTCTCTATAATGATGATGATGGTGTCCTACATAATCGGGACATCTCCAAGTAACTTATAACCAACGGAACATATCCGTTGGTGGAGTTATAACAAACAAGTGCAATTAATGGCGATTTTTTGTTATTGATGTTCTATACTCAATGATTAAAATTATCTTAAATTTTTTAATATCTTACTATAGCGTAAGATTATATTTAGGGCGGTCCCTCCACGCCCAGTGGTATAATAAAAGGCCTCTGGCCACAAAGATGGATGCAAAGAACGCATACAGCGTGCTTAGCCCTCTTACCTTAAAATGCCCTTGGGCAATAAAAGGAAATTGAAAATTTATGTATATATACATTTATATATATATTGTATTTTGTAATCAAGATATTCCTTGGGGATGGGAAAAAAAAGGTTATATTTTTTTGTTTTAGTTGACTTCAAAGCTAAGCAGTAGTTTGAAATTTCTATTTTATATTATATCACTTTCTAATCTTTAAAGCTATTATATAAAGATAAACAGATTAACCAATCTTATATTGGCTAAATCAGAGGAGATTATTGCTCTTATTAACACCAAAACAGATGAATATTTATAAAAGTTTTAATCAAATGAAAATATTGAGAGACATATTTTTTAAAGCATTCTAATGCTACGAACAGACAGATCTTTTTCTTTTTTAAAAACTATATTTGGTGTCTCCACATATTCTATCATTATTGTTTTATTTTTTTTAAAATTAGTTTATTGACTAATAATACAGTTTACTACGTAGAAGAATGACAATTACTCATTCATATAATATGCACTTAGCAGTATGACACATTTTTAAACAGTGAAATTAATTATAATTAGTTGGCCCATGAGAATAATTCGCAGAAAATTTACTTTAATGAAGAAATAGCAAAACAATATGGTAATAAGTAGTTCCTATGTATCATGTCAAGAAGGAATTAATATTTTTTCCTAGATCGATTACAATATTCCATTTAACATAATAGACCAAAATATCTGTGTATATTGCTTTGTTAGAACCTATTTTAACTGGAGAGATAATAAAAGTAATAAAGACAAAATAATGCTCCGATCATGAGATTTTCTAAATTACTAAAAAAAATAAAATGTAAGAACAAACGAATGGACTATATCTTTGTTAATAATTGTCCGATTTATACAATTTTTTTGGTTTATTATTTTCAATAATCAACCATTGTGATCGACCAAAAAGTTCAAAAATCCCTCTCAAAATTTGAGGTTTCACGTTTCAGAATGCGTAGAATTCGAAAAACGAATAAAAATTTTTTTGTCCATCCGTCATCCGCGCATTTTCTCCGAAACTACTGGACCGACTTTTTTCAAATTTGGATATAAAATCAGAGGTCACCCAAGGATGATCCTCCTTAATCAACATTACCATCCACCTTTTTCTTTCAAAATTGCGGCCGAAAAACCTGGGTTGCTATAGACTGTAGGTCCTAAACGAATGTACCGATTTCAATGAAACTTCGCTGAAGTAATTTCTTGACACCTTTTAAATTTACCTATATAACATACTTCAACGAAAAGAAGCTGGAAAAAAAGTTACGAGGGATGGTAAAATTAAATTCCGAATCACTCAAAAAGTTTACACTTTTTTGTGGATATTGTATTTAATTTAGTAATCTTTCTAATTATCATGGGTACAACCAAGAAAAAAAATGCATACTTTTTTGAGTTATTTGCAAATAAAGTTGCTTTTCCTTCATAACTTTTTTTCCAGAAATTTCGAGAGTATAGGACTATTTTTCGCATATGAAGGAGAATATCTTCAAAATGAGTAGTCAATCATTGGATTTGATGAAGAATTGACAATGTTATGGCGTACTGACAAAAAAAAAACACCTTTTAGAAATAACATATAGGATTAATTGTAGTAATAGCCTTGATAAACTTTTTAATTTTTTTTAATAAGTTTATTGAGTAACAAAATGTATATAAATATAAATAATTTAAATAAAGAACAAAATAAATAAAGATAATTTATATATTAAAATATAAATAAAACAATAAATTGAAGCTGGGAAAAACAAAACACAGCCATACCTATGTACAAAATTTACATTCACTCAGAGGACTCTAATTCAAGCTTTGTTCTTCCAATGTGACAGGCAATTTAAGACTAAAGAAGATACCAGTGCTTCTCTCCCAGCTTTGTCATTGGTACTGGAAGCCAGTGGAGACTGGCCATTGCCAGAACTCCAATATATCGTCAGTTTATTGAAAAAGTCACTAAGTGCATTTTTGATATGGGTTAACTATCAAATATGTTTTTGTGAATTTCGACTTTACTTTTTGATACAAAAAGTGCACAGTAAGTGCATACAAATTAAACAAACCCTTTTATTTATTAAATTACGCACAATTTATGATTTCATAATGTAGGAATCTTCAAAGTTCTTAATTATTTAAGTTATAAAATGTCACTTGTCATTGTCGCAAAAAGTTTCGGGACCACAATTGGTTTAACCCCCGGGAAGAGGGGGCGGGGTGACCGAAAGGGCTAACGCATGTGTACAGCACCGCGAGTTACCCGGCAATGAGATAACCGAAGTTATGAGATTAAAAAAAAGTATGAGTTCGCGTCCCAGTACTGGAGGGGATTGTAAATTCCCCTCCGGCCCGAGAAAATCCCGTATAGCCTAAAAGGGGAGGTAGGGAAAACAATAAAAAATTGAATTAAAAAAAAAAACCGGATAGAATTGTAGGGACAACTGAAGCTTGATAGGGATTGTTACAGGATTTGGATGATGAGTGAGGAAATGATGAAACTTATAAAATTTGTCGTGGATCAGGTCCAAAACAAATTGAATATTAAGGTCATTTTAAGGGGTTTGGTTGGTTACACAGAAGGGAGCATGGACTATTATTCAAAACACTTTAGACCGGAAGGATTTAAAGCGTTTGATGTCATATCTTGCGTTTATTTTAACCGAAAGCCTACAGTATATTTTATGTGAATACAATTTAATAACAAAAAGATTTTTAAAAAAATAATAATAAATAAGTGCAGGCGCTATTAGTTTGCTTAGACCAGGGATCTCCAAATTTTTTGTCCCGCGAGCCAGTTTGGAGACCTCTGCCATAGACCACTACAACGCGGGTTCGATCCCCTCATGGGAACAGTAACATCCCCACCCAGTGATTTACGGGGAGGTGAGCGACCCTTGTGTCTTATACCAGCTCCTGGTTCTCCAGGTTGGACATAATTCTATTCCATAAAAAAAAAAAAAAAGGTGCAAATTTCTGCAAAAAGTTGGCAACCATCCTTCAGTAAAATACCTGATGGAGAGGAAGTGATTGTGTTCGCGTTCGGTATTGTAAAAATCACGTGCTGGATATCTTGGTATTCCTGGATATCTTAAGAGAATTAAACAGAATAAGGGAACCAAACAATCACAGCTGTCCCCTATTACAGTACAAGCTGCTGGAAGACTCATATCAGATGCCCGAAAGTTGAGACGTAAGGGAATATATATACAGGAAAAGTCATATCGACTTGTAATATGAACAGTCACCGATGTGTAAAATCGGCGAATGTTTAACTTTAATGTTTAAACCATAATTAGTATTAATTAAATAGTATAATAAATGACAATATTTTATAGGGAAGATTATACCTAGTATTGCCATAAATACTGTAACAAAAGCTAAACTTTGTTTAGATCCTTGGGTATTATTTAAATAATCTTATTAATTTAGATAATTTTTTTACATGCCAGGATAATAATTCCAATTAGCTGCTATTTATCCTTCGCTCAGTTAACATGGAGTGGGGTGATAAAGAAAACCGAATATCTGTGATCGCCTTACACAAAGTTGGAAAATGTAGGTCAGGAATTTTCAACACTTTGAAACCTTTGGGTATCAGCTGTATGTTCGTGTACCGCACTATAAATAGATAAATGAGATCCTATCTACATGTGACCGACCTCAACCATGCACTATAAGAACAGCAAATTCAGTGGGAGCAGTGGCTACTCGATCAGAAGAAATCTCACTCGAAAACAACAAATCTTGTATCGGGAAATGGGAATCTCTGTCAGATCACTGTCTCGCATAATAAAAAGTGACTTTAGTATGGGTGCATTTCGAAGAATGACAGGACAAAGGCTAACCACATCCATAAAAAAAAAAGTTGAGTGGATAGATGCAAACTGCTCCTTAGCCGTTACACCAATAGTCTTCATCAAAAGATTTTGTTTAGTGATGAGAACATTTTTACAATTGAAGAAAAATTTAAGAGCATAATTATATTACAGAGAGAAAGAATAATAAATGTTGTTTGTGATGAAGTTTTGTAAATTTTCATTAAATAGATTAAAATATATTGTATTTATTTTAAATTTATTTATTTAAAAATGTGGTAGTATATTGCTGCTCCCTGTCAATTGAGTTTTTTTTTTTTTTTGAGCTTTCTCTTTTTATTTTCTCATAAATTTCAGATGTTACTGAGTTAACCAGTTGCACTAGGCGATGAATTCATGAGATGTATGAAATAGTCATATATGATTCAAATTTAACATGGGTAAAATTAAAGGTCACTGTCAATAAAAAAGGAAAATCATTTGTCATATTTTTTAAATAAATTAATTAAAAATAATTAACAAACTGGTTCGGATTTACTGTAGGATATAATGCTTATAAATTGATTTATAAAAAAAGTAAAATTCTTAATAAATAAAAAATATCATACGATGTAAAATACAATAAATAATTCATAAGTCCTTTAAGTGCACACATAGCACATTGATATATACAGTTTTGCATAAAGGTATACAATAATTGTTTATGAGTAGAAGGGATTCAGGTACATTCACTGCCTATACAAGAAAACATATGAAGATGAATTGACAGAAGAAAGTATAAAAGAAAGAATCACACATTTTAAAACACCAAATTAAATTTTTTTTTCAATCATTAATTATATTTTCCAAATTTCATTCACTTAACCTAGTATATTTTTATTTACTTTTTTTTTTTTTTTTTTAAACTCAGTAACATCAGTTCCTCGTGTCATCTCAACCATGTAGTTTGGAAAATAATTTTAAACAGTCGATAATAATTGAAGACATGAGTTCATGAAGTTGTTATGTTACAAATTTAAAGTTCTATAAAAATGTGAAAGATTTTTTTTAAATCAGATTTTTAAAGTCATGATCAATCAAATCCGATTAGAAATGATGTGATTAACAAATAATCTTGGTTTGCTAATTTGCAATGATAAATATATAATACTTTCTTCTTAAGAAAATATCAATTTTCAAAAAAATTATTACATAGCACATTCATCTCCTCATCTTTTAAATTTTAATATTTAAGAGTATATCACATAATTATTTCTAAAATACATTTGGAATGAGTCGGTAAGGCACTTTTTCACAATACTGAGTCCAAAATGATCCATATTTAGCTTCACATTTTTCCTCATCTCTGAAAACGCGGTGAAAAAGTAGAATGATGATAAAAGGGATATACAACAATGGTTGAATACCCAACCATAGTCCAGGTAGACACCAAAATATAGAAGTTGCTATTTCAAAGGTGTAATTTAGATGCCTTGCAACTCCCCACAAACCAGAGGTAAGTAATAATGAACTTTTTTCTTTTCCAAGATGATCTTTATATTTAGCTCTGATGAACCTAGCTGGATTACCCCAAATAACACATCTACCATCAGGAGATGATCGAAAATGAAGTTTTTGAGCATCTACCCAGTAGTTCATTAAAATACTCACTACTCCAAACAGTCCAAATAAAAATGCTAATCCATTTGATATAATGGGAGGATGACCTACTAGAAAGAATGAAGTGAAAGTATAAAAGCTAGGGACCCACACGAGGCATCCCCACACCAAATAATAACCAATACGGTCCAGTGTTATATCCAATGTGTAATAATATCCTTTTTCCCAGTAGTAAAACTTGCCTAAATAAACGCTCTGAAACAAAAACAAAAAAAAAAATGGTAAAAAATAATGAAAGAAAATAATTATAATAACAAAAAATGTTTAGCCCTTATTACAACAGATAATGATTAGTTAGTAACAACTATTTCAGAGACTCAATAATTATTTCCGGCCATTATTCTATTTTGTATTTCATGGCTGATCTTGTTTTCTATATTTATTGAGGAGCCTGAGTAAGTGAAACTGGTTACTCTCTGAAACTTATAATTGATAATAAAGATGCTATTGTTTCTCTGGTTATTTGCAGCTTTTAATAACATATATTTTATTTTTTCTTGATTTAGGGTGAGCCCAACCCTACTACCTCTTTTTACAATAATTTCGAAAGCTTCCTTTAGTGCTGCTTCGCTCCTGGCCATAATAACCAAATTATCTGCATACACGCAAATTTGCCAGGTTTTATTGGTTAGCATTCCAGCTTTAATTGCATCTTAAACTGCCTAATGTTCGACCAAGTTGAACAGTGTAGCTGATAATGCGTCGCCCTGCCTTATTCCAGAGACCACATCAAAGTCATCACCCACTTTGTTCCCAATCATGACTTTGGCAGCAGTACCAGGTATACCATGTTCTTTGAGGATGCTGAATAGAACAGCTCTTTTCACACTATCGAATGCTGGTTTATAGTCTATAAATAGAAGGTGAAGGTACAAATTATATCCATAGAAAAGTTCCATAGTTTGTCTTGGGACGAAAATTTGATCTGTAATGTCCCTTCCATAGCGGAAGCTGCATTGGTATTCACCCAAAATTAAATTTTTTCAGCATAAATGTTAAGCTATCTCATGATAGCATTAGAGGCATTAGAGCACCTATAATAGCGTGATACCTTGATAGAGTTAGCAAGATTCTTTGCTACATTTTATAAATATAGGTCACAATAGTCCAATATTCAATTCTTGTGGCATTTTCTCAATTTCCCAGATATCACAGATCAGTTTGTATATCATGTCTATCTTTTTAATGCTACTATTTTTAATTAGTTCTGCTATGATTTTATCTTCACCTGGTGCTTTAAAATTTGTTAAGGCTCTAATGCCATCTTCTCTTTCTACGGTTGTGGGTCTCATTACTGCAGATTGGGTTAGTTGATTTTCATCATTTTTATTTTCAGAAACTATATTACTATTATCACTATCATCTCTACTATTTGGGTCAGTTGCGTTAGCTACATTTAATAATTCTGTAAAATGTTCCGTCCATCTTTTTATCACGTTTTCCTCACCTTCCAATATTTTATCTTCCTTATCTCTAAGACCAGTAAACTTTACAATGCAATTACATATAAATATTTTTTAGTTTAATAGCTTTGTTCAGATAAATTGTTTTTGTGAAATCATCTTCATGCAGAGAATGATATACATAGTTATTCAGATTAATTATCTATTACCTTTATATAACATCTAAGGACAATAACAAAAATTTAAAAAAAAATTGACGATAAAATAAAACAAAAATAATCATAATAAAAAAGGCAGTTTTTCTCTCCAAAAATAATAATAATATATATACATCAAATTGTCAAGGAAAGTTAATTAAACATACTATAACAATTTTTTTTTTAAATCTCAAAACGTTTTGTACAGATATTGTCGGTACCAAGTTAAAGTAACAAATGTTAACCTGCCCATTGTTGCACATTTGTTAATTTAACATGGTGCCGACGATATAATGATCTTTATAATGTTAATAAAATAAAGAATTATTTAAAGTACAAATTCAAAAGCAAATGTTCAACTTGTGACATTGTTCTCAACAATGCCTTCGTAACAATGGAATATTTCTGTTGCTTGACTTTCATTTCAAGCATTATAAGTATGCAATATCCTATTTTATTAAATAAGTATATATAAATGATTTATAAATTAATTATACAATAAGAGAATAATTAATATTTAATTAAAATATAAAACTTTACCTGTATTAAAACAGAAGTGAAATTAGGGAAATTAAATCCATAAATATCCAATGAAGCAATGAAAAAAGCTAAAATAAGTAATTGCCACATCATAAGTCCTATTCTTGAAATAATTAACTGTTTAGCATCAACACCTAAAAATTTTAGATGAATTTCTTTGCCACGGTAGAAAATGTATACTTTTGGAAACTTTGAGTTTCGTTGAATTTCGGATGGTAAAAAGTAAAAAAATACACATAGAGAAAATGCTACAATGTTTAGACTGCCAATAATGTCTGGCATCGAGTTATAAATAATTGAAGATAGTCCAGGCCGGAAGGTTTCACATAGAACATAAGCAGTTATTGTAGCCCAATAATACACAAATCCTCTACCCTATGGATTAAGAAAATAGATTAAATAAATTTCATAAATCTATTACAATTAATAAAATAATATATTTAAGTACCTTATACAAAGCAGTAGTGGCATCAGTAGTCAAAGGACCATAATATTTTTTTCTTTCTAATATGAGCCATAACCATGCCCAAAAGAAAATAATTCCAATAAAAGTCCAAGAAAAAGCACTACCAATTAAGCTTGGAACCAAAGAAACTAATTCTATGCCATCCCTTCCAAAATATGGAATAAGAAGAGAAAAAGCAGTGAAAAATATCACAAAAACTGGAGGTGCCAGTTCATATCTCAATTTATTGTACCAGTTCATTTTTACTGCAATAAATAAAATAATATATTCAGATTAACTGATAAAAGAAAAAACCTATAATTTTTATAGGAGATGTACCTTCCTTCATAATTTCTGAACATGTGGATAAACATTGTAGGATAGAAGTAGAAAAAGTTTCTTTTTCACTAGTGATCTAATCAGACAAAAAAAAAAAAAAAGGATTTTAAAAAGGTCGTGAAAAGATAACATTGAGTCAAAGTTAGATAAAGAAACACCCAATTATTTTTATTATAACATATTATATTATAATAACTGCTGTTTTAACAACTTAAAGCTTGGTTATTAATTGATGAATTATGACACCTAATTGCTTTCTTTTGTTTAGCATTGACTTTTCTGCAAGAAATATGGAAATAAAATTAAATCATTTTATTACTTTACTTAATAAATAAATAAATTATATTTTAACAGTATTGACAACTTAACACCCATGAAGTAGTTTACATACTCTTTGAAATATAAAACCATAAGTATAAAATATTATTCTTGTACACTTATTATACAAACTTAGCTTTATGAAAAGAAGACTGTAATATCAAACACACAAAACGAAAGACCTTAAAAGACATTAATTAAAAAATAGTTATTCAATTAAAAATATATTCCTTATTTATTTATTATTATTTGAATGTTTTGATAGATTGTTTTTTAACAAATACCAGTATCAAAGGGTAGTATAATTTTGACAAACTATTAATTTTTTAATGATACTTTCATTTAGATAATAATTCAGACAAATGGATATTACGATGAACTTTAAGAATCATAAATTGTTATTATTTAGAAATTAATGTTTTAAACGAATTTACTGACATCAATCTCCAGATAAATGGAATATCCCATATTACTTTAATCAAGTTCTTTATAATATACAAAAGAGGATTCAATCATAAATAGAACAATAAATATATAATTTATTTTGATTAGATTAAATATATATATAACATTTGTGTCATGAGAAGTATATTTTTTCATAATTTATTTTTATGAATTAACCAATATAAATGTAAAAACAGAGTTTTGAAGTTTACTATAACAAAACTTGTGCAAAAGACAAAAAAGACAAATACAAAAAAAAAAAAAAAAAAAAAAAAACTAGTAACTTACCATTGGTGACAGCAATTGAATAATCAATACACAAACATGTCTCATAAAATTTTATACATGGTGAAGGAAGCTAAAATATGGGAAGAATGTTTAATCCTATTGATACACCATCCTTGAAGTGAGAGGTTTTCAACCTTGAGAAGCTTGTCACATCACATATGATATACAAAACCTCATTTAGAGAGAAAGATATATAGAAAGAAAATAAATCAAACTTTATGAAACCTACATATATAAATTCATAATTATAATTCTGAATTTTTTTCCAAAGGAAATCATCTGACTTCAAATTTTTTTTCCCGTATACTCAACCTAAAAATATCAAGCACTCCTGTTATGAGTGTCACAATCTAATATTTTTATTTTATTTTTATTACAGTATATACAATTATAAAGAATGGAAAATTATATATTGCAGGATCCAGTCATAAGATCCAATAATGAGACAGAAAATAATTAATTGAAAATTTAATGTTGCTAATTAGAGTAAGATGATGAAAGAAAAATAGTAATCCAAGTTTTTTTATGAGGATATTTTGGAAAAATATCTATGAATTTAATGATAAAACGATACACAAGTAAGATAGTTGTTTACAACATGAATTTCATCATATTCAACTTCTTATAATATATACGATATTAAGATAAAAAAATCACAGCAAAAAGGGGGGAGGCTGTTGCCTTCCTTAAAAAAATTGAAAGGAAATAAAACATAATATGATACAAATGGTTTTCTAAAAATCCAAGAATAATAATTTTAAAAAATTGTTGTTCTAAATATATATTTTTTTAAATATAAAAATATTTATAAATTTTATTAACAATAAACTACATAGTATAATACTATAGAATTTGAAATCATTTATATATATATGAATTTTTTCTGTATTCATTCTTGCCTCCGCCTAATATGAAAGCTATGCTCTTGTAAAAATTTGTATAATTAGAGAAGATTCCTTACATAAACGTGTTTTTTTTTTTTTTTTTACCTCAAAATTCAATATGAGTGGAATGATCCAAATTTACATGAAAATTTAATTTAATTCTTTTGATTTATTAGCATTTATATTTAAAAAATAAATTGCCTTGTTTTATTTTTTATCTTTCATGTTATACTTTCAATAAAAAACATTTACATTTAATTCATTTACAGTAAATTTCCAAATAAAAACATGATTAATATCTATTATTGATTATAAGTAATGAGAAACAAGGCATTTAAATGTGAAATTTAGAGTATTAAAAGAATTATGAACATTTTACTTATTATAAATTATCAATTAAAGATAAATAATCCTTAAAAACTGATATTCTGGGCAAATGCCTCATTGTAAATCAGGACCTGGGGGCACTGAAGTCAAAGTAACATACTCAGTGGGATACTTAGACCATATGCGGCCCATGGTGGAATGTTTAAGACCTCTAAAATAAATAAATAGATTATTTTAAAAAATGACAATTTTTTAATAAAAACAATAATTTTCTTGTCTGCTTCACTGTACCTAATGATTTTGGAGTAACATTAACATCCTATAAAGAAAAATAAAACCGCATCCCTTTTGCGGAACACCCTTATGACTTTCAGGCTGAAGCCTCCCTCCCTCCCCCAAAAAGGTAAAATGTAACCATGTTTTATGGAAAAAAAATTATCTCTTAAAATATTATTGTTCGTGTAATTGCATTTAATAAGACTTCAAGAATCACTTGAACACCATTTCATATAAGTAATTATTATATTTCTTTCTTTTTTTTCCAAAGTAATTATGGTTATATATATGAAAAAAGCTTTTGGGCTGAAGCCCCCCAAAATTAAATCCTGGATGCGCTAATGGCCCAAGGTGAACCACTACTTTCTCTTTCTCCTAGATACCGAGGTTTCTAGGTAGAGGAAAAAGGAAAAAACTGTTCATGGAAGGACATCTCATGCTTGGTCTGAACATTTCAAAATTGTTTAGTAAATAATTTAATGATTAATAAATACTGTTCTAAAATGAACTGAAATATCAACTGAAATCTACAAATAATTTGTTATTTTTCTATTCTAATATAAAAAAAGATACATAATTACAGAGCTTTTACTATTGGATTTTACTACTCGAATTTGATTACTTTGGATCATTAAATGTTACAGGACAATACAGGCTGTAGTAACTGAAATCGAACAAACAAAGAATCTTCCTACCCCAGAGGTGCCTCCATTCCCTCCAAGGTCGATGGCGCAAGAATTTCAAGAGCTACAAAAAAGTTTATATAAACAATGGCCTGATTTTAGTGACCAACTAAATGCTTTGAATTCTAATATTTACATTTAAAATTTAAGAAACCTACTGATTGATTAAATTATTTTAATGGAATCGTAATTATTAAGATTAGAAACGTTTAATTGATAACTTATAAATACAGATCAATTCCTATGATAGTGATTTGGGTAAAAACCACAGTTTTATTATCACTTTAGATGACAAATATTTCAAAATCATTAATTTTAACTTTTTGTTTGTAAAAATAAAAAGTTTATGTTTAGTAGTAAACAGCTATGTTTACTTTAATAAATCCCAGATAAAAAAAATTAAATCCTTGCAATAATTTATTTTAGCCCCTTTTGCTAAAGACACCGGGTATTTTGATACTTTTATATCAAAACACCTCATTTTTTTACACAACTTGAGTCTCAACTTATTTCATAATATGCCATAAAATTAATTAATATGGAGTTAAAGCTAATAAAACAAAGAAACGCAATTCTTGTCTTGACTTCCGAACGATAGCCATGATGATGACCCACATGTTTGGGTCGAAATGTCGACTAATACAATAAAAATCTATAATATATAATGCCTTATATAATAATATAATCATATTTATTCTTATTACCAATTTGTAATCATAATAACAGAGAAATAATTCTAGAAATAACAAGTGTGGTGTCTTTGTTACGGCCCACGTATCTCGCTTTGTATATCTAAAATAAAATATGAAACAGTCACTAAAAACTTTTATTATATAATAGAGAGATTTATGCAGGGTGTCTCATAAGTAGGGGGAAATATTTAAATGGCAGACCTCAAGAGCAACAATATATGTGATAATAATGACATACAGTGATGGAAAAAAGTATTTGCACATCATGTTTTTATGAATAAATGAGTTCAAAGAAACAAAAAACTTCGCTTTCCTCTGCAAAAATGCAAAGTACATTTGTTAAAAACTGAGAAAAACCTTTTTGGAAAAAAATGGCAACACTCCATAATAAAACAAAAAAATTAAAACAATAAAAGTGCTTGGAAAAAGTTTTGCACACTATGACTCACAAGCTCTGTTTAGTTTGGCATTAATCCTCCAGTGCCCCATAAGTCATAGGTTTGTTTACCAATTTATCTCTAATCGTTTATTACCAGTATTCTCTAGTCTTTCAATCAGTTTCCTTTAGTCAATAGACAATTATCATGCCAAAGACAATGAACTGTGGGCGCAACTCGCGAAAAAATTGTTTTACTGAGGAGTCGGCAAAAAACATATCGTCAAATTGCCGATTTCTTAGGATTGAATTTTTCTACAGTGAGATACGTCATAAAAAGATATGAAGAACGTGGTTCAACTGAAAACAGTGAGCGTAAAGGGCGTCCAAAAAAGTTAATTCCCAGGCTGAAAAGGAAAATCAGAAAAGAAGCTCTTAAAAAACCTCTGATAAGTTCTCGGGAGCTGGCTACCATGGTCCAATCAACGTCTGGAGTTCAGATTACTTGCAGAACAATTAGATATGCCCTGAATTCGGAAGGGCTCCATGGTAGAGTTCCAAGAAAGAAGGCATACGTCAGTGAAACGAATCGCAAAAAGCGCCTTTCTTTTGCTGGGGAGTAAGTACTTTAAGCTTTTGGGAAAATGTCATCTTTTCTGACGAAAGCAAATTTAATTTGTTTGGTTCAGATGGTCGAAGGTCGATATGGCGACATCGTAATGAAGCCCTAAAGAAGCAAAATGTTTTAACAACTGTAAAGCATGGTGAAGGACATGTTAGATAGAAAGATAGAAAAAAAAACTTTATTCTGGGACTAAGTCCCTTCAGAATAACAATAATGTACAAAATAATAGAATATTACTGGCCTGAACGTTGAAACAATAAATAAAATTGATAAAATAAAATAAAAAGTAAAGAAAATCTTAGGTGCACAAGCTATATACAAACAGATAAAACTATGTACAGAGCATTTAAAATTATGAACAAAACAATTAAAACTATGAACGAATCACTTGAACTATGAACAAAATTATATTTAAGGGTTGAACAACATAAACATACACTTTGAGAAATGAAGAACGAAAAAGAGATACAATGAGTTCATTTCATAAAAAAAAAAAACTTTACTTGAATAATATATATAAAAATAAACAGTTACTTATAATTGAATAAAAAAAAATAATAAAAAAAATGTATGTATTGAAATTCCTACGTCGATAGTAGGAAATGCATGTACTATCTCTTACCAAGTGTTATGATTATATGATTGCTACACAATACATATATAATATCAATAGTTAGCTGGTATCAGACTGTTTTTGGAACAGGAATTGGAATAGGAGGTTTTTGAATGTATACAGGGAAGGGGCATGTCGAATTTTGATCGGGAGGGAATTCCAAAAGTTGACAGAGCGGGCTATAAAGGAATTTTGGAATGAGGCAGATCTATGAGAAGGGATGTATAGGTCAGAGGGTCGGGATCTTGTAGTGAGTGAATGGATTGAGGACTTAAATTGGAGAAGGTTGTAGGCATAAGAAGGACGATGGTCGGTAATGATTTGATAAAGGAAAGTGCCAAGGAAATATTGTCTTCTTAAGGAGGGGAAGAGCCACCCTAACTCAGTGTAGTGGTGGGAGACACGGGAGCGTCTCGGGGTTCCACTTACAAATCTTACGAAACAATTCATAAGTCTTTTGAGTCTATCACGCAGTTCCACCGAGAGGCCATCGTACACCACACAGCTGTAGTCAAAGTGGGGAAAGATGAGAGAGGAAACTATGAGTCTACGGGTATTTTGGGGTAGAAGATGGCGGAAGTGATGGAATAGTTTGAGGGTAGAAATTGCACGGCGGGATATATGAGAGATATGGTGATTTCAGGAAAGGGTTTGATCTATGAGAAAGCCTAAATTTTTAACAAAGGGATAGAAGGTGATGGGGTGGTCTAAGAAGAGGCTTGGAACCAATGAGAATGGCCTGAGTTTTGGCAGCATTTAGCCTTAATCCATTTAAGTTGGCCCAGGCACTAATTCGATCTAAATCTTCTTGAATTTTGGCAAATGCCACCAATAACTCAGCGGGAGAAAAGGATAAATAGATTTGAGAATCGTCGGCATAAAGGTGGTGGGAACAATGGATAATTGAATCATTTAGGTCATTAATATAAGAACTGAAAAGAAGAGGAGACATGCTTGAACCCTGTGCAACTCCTGAGGATAAAGGAAGGTAGGCAGATAGAGGTTGATTAGGTATGGAAACTGCTTGGGCTCGTTGTGAGAGGAAAGACTGGAACCAAGAGATGGAACTATTGGAGAAGGATAATGATTTTAATTTGTTGAAAAGGATGGAATGGATAATGGAATCGAAAGCTTTGGAGAAATCAAGCAGTATAAGTATGGTTAGTTTTTTGTCATCTATTGCAGTCTGGATATCACTAGTAATTTTAATCAGAGCAGATTGTGTAGAGTAGCCAGGACGGAAGCCAGATTGGAGAGGATCGAGTTGGTTGGATTGTTCAAGGTAGTTGGAAACTTGGGATTGCACTAACTTTTCTAGGGGTTTAGAAAGATTGGAAAGGATTGATATTGGGCGGAAATCTTCGGGAGAGGATGGATTAGGCTTTTTGTTTAAAGGAAGGACAATGGCTTTTTTCCAAGAGGTCGGGAATATTGAATTCTGCAGGGAGAAATTGTAGATGAAAAGGAGTGCTGGGAGGATTTCAGGGAGACATAAATTTATTAGTTTGATAGGAATGCCATCTGGGCCTACGGAATTGGAACGGGATTTCATTATAACGGTAATAAGGTCTGTGGGAGAAATGTCGGAAAAATAAAAATTATTGTCGTTAAAAGGTCCCTCTGGAGGAAAGCCGGAAGGGGATGGTAAAGAAGAGGTGGAAACCGATATAAAGTGGGAGTTTAGGTCATCAGGTGATATTGGGAAAACTGAGGAAGGGGATCTAGAAGGTTCACAGAGGGAAAGCTTACGAAGTAGAAGCCATTTTGATTTGATATCAGGAGCTGAGGAAAGGGCTTCGTGAAAGTAGTTCGCTTTCGCTTGTCGGATCCTTGTCTGTGTCGTGTTACGAAGCACTCTGAATATTTGATAATCATCTGCAAGCCTAGTCCGTCTGAAGCGTCTGCGTGCAGCGTCGCGTCTCTTCTGCAGATCCTTAATTTCCTGACATATCCAAGGAGCAGGACGATGACGGAAAGTGGAGGTTTTCAGAGGAGCGTGGGTATTGAGTATATTGAGAAGATTGGTGGTGAGAATATCAACCATGGTGTCGACAGAGGAGCAATGATATATTCCATTCAAATCCAATGTTACTAGATCAGGTAATATTTTTTCTCGAGTAAGGGTATCCAGTTGGCGGAAAGTGATAGTTCGAGGATGGATTGGAGGAGTGCGGATATTATACGTTATTTGTATCAGATCATGAGATGAAAGAAAGGATATTGGCAATTGAGAGGCGGAGAGGAGGTTTTGTGCTGAGTCGATGATGTAGTAGTCTAGCCAAGTGTCAGATCTGGTGGTGTGGTGGGTGGAGGAAAAAGGAACGATGAATAGGTGAAGTGAGAAAAACAGATTTTCTAAATAGGATTTGTCATTGGATTTTGAGAGGAAATTGGTATTGAGGTCACCGGAGATAATTATTCTGGGATAGAGGGGAACGAAGTTGAATAGAGTTGATTCGAAGGACGGGTCAAATGGCACGAGAGGAGGGCGATATACCACGGCGTAAAGGATAGGAGAAATATTACTGAGAATTTCTACTAAGAGGTATTCTACATGAGGATGATCGGAAGATGGGGAGCAATCGAGGATTCGGGTCTTTAGGCTATTGTGGACAAACATGGCTACTCCACCGCCAGTCCGGTTTACCCGGTCATGACGGAGCAGGATGTAATTAGGCAAGGAGACTGAAGATGAAGGAATATAAGGTTTGAGCCAGGTTTCGGATATTGCTATGATATGATAAAAGTTTTGGGTAAAGTATTGCAGGAATTCGTCATAATGGGCAGAAAGTGATTGAGAGTTAACTTGACATGTGATTAGGGAACTAGACATACAGTGGATTTGGAGAGAAACAGTCAGTGTTTGGTAGCGAGAAGACAAAACGAGTAGAAAGTACAGAAAAGCGATTATCGTACATGAAACTAAGTGAAGAAAAAGTAATATTAACATTAAAAATAAATAAAGAGAATGTACTTGAAAATAAATAGATTGATGAGTGACGGTGTAGAGATAGCACTAAGATAAGAAGTAAGATTATTTTAATGAGGCTAAGGGGTTGACGGCTTCTAGGTAGTCAGTCAAATACATCTAGATCCGAGGCCTGTTCTATCAGGATGACTCTATGTCCGTCCTCTTTTCGACAACGCACCTTTCCGGAAGCAAACCACGTATATTTGATTTTTCCCGCCGCTCTCTTCTGCCGGGCTAGCCAATAGAGGTGTCTGTTTGTGCGAGTCATCTCTTCACCCAGATAAATTCGGTGGCAGTCATTTTCCTGCCAAACCGACATGTTATGGTTTGGGGGTGTTTTTCCTACCATGACGTGGGAAATCTTGTGAGCATCGAAGGCATTTTAAATGCGGAAGGCTATGTGAACATTTTGCGGCGGAATTTGCGTGTTAGGGTCGAAAAAATAGGAATTCAGGATCAGTACTATTTCCAGCAGGACAACGATCCAAAACATACTGCGAGGAGAACAAAGGAGTGGTTAATATTTAATGTTCCAAGACAGCTCCACACTCCTCCTCAGTCACCAGATATAAATATCATTGAAAATTTATGGCACACACTTGACCAAAATGTAAGAAAACACCATATCACTATTGGAAATCACCTTAAACAACTTCTTGTTCAAGAATGGGAACAAATAAACGTAGATTTAATTAAAAATCTAGTGCATTCAATGCCCAGACGTCAACAAGCAATTATTGACGCAAATGGCCTATTTACAAAATATTAAAATTTAAAATAAACTTGTAAATCTGGAAGTGTGCAAATACTTTTTTCCAAGCACTTTTATTGTTTTAATTATTTTGTTTAATTATGAAGTGTTTTTATTTTTTTGTAAAAAGATTTATTCAGTTTTTAATAAATTTACTTTTCATTTTTGCAAAGGAAAGCGAAGTTTTTTGTTTCCTTGAACTACTTTATACATAAAAACGTGTTGTGCAAATACTTTTTTCCATCACTGTATATATGATAAAAATATTCCTTTATTAAGATTTTTCACCTTAACACCCTCTTGCGAATCTTCTATGATAGTCAAACAAGTTCCTATGGTAGAAATTATAACTTTATTAAATCAAAAAAATTCCAAATAAAATTGAAAGAATAAAAGCTGAGCACAAATAAAAATCCTTTATTATTAATTAATGTATATATATTTTTTTTAAACGACACCATCATCTTCTTTATCTATTGTAATTTTTTTTTTACAGGAAACTGCAAAATAATAAATTATTAATCAAGAGTTCTAAAAAGTTAAATTCTGGGCTATGGTGATAGTGTTGTGCATTTTATCTAATCGATCCTTATCTAAGTTGTCCAAGATCAATCAGGAGAATAAATAATAAGAAAAAAAATACATATTTTTTTTTTTAATATATCGGCCAAATTTCATCGTACATCTTCGAGGCTCAAGTTGAGTAATACACTAAAGAATCTCATCGATAAAGAATTTGGAATCAAAATATTGACATTAATCTATATACAGTGAATCAAAATTTTTTATATAATGTTAATAATGAAAAGCTTTAAGAGTAATGAAACAGTTCTTGTTTCCTAATGGACCAGAAACTTTGTAATCGGCGAATATCTAAATGAAGTTATTTTATTTTAACAAAGAATTCGTGGAAAAGTTGAATTCTCAAAAGAGCTTCTAAATGCTTGACTTCCGGCGTAAAACCGCTCGTTTGCTGATTAGGGCCACCATATGACAATTGTGCTCCTTTTATGACAGAACTTCTATTTTTGTAACAATGTAAAGAGATTTAAAAATGAATTGATTATAAACAAACCATAATAACCTTATAGTTGATTTCTTTTCGGGAGAAATAAAATAGTGAACTTTAAAAAAAACTATTTTTATTTTCAAATATAACGAAACTTTGAAAAAATATTGAACAAGTGCTTACTTTTTTACACCCTTTCATCTATTTACAACTTGTTTATATTTACCGACGATGTAGGTTCATGTTTCCATTCTTAAATTCAGTAGTTTTTTTAGAAGGTATTTTCCTCTGTTTAAAGCAATTTTTTTAAGCCCCCCTCCCCGTTTCTTAAAATCGACTATAATCAGCATTGGATGATCATACGTAGTAAATCTTGTTATTAAAAACATCAATAAAATGGATAATTGTAATATCAAAAATCGAACATAATTCACTTACAACATTTACTTTATTTCTTTTAGTATTTAGGCAATTTAATTTCTTCTATAATATTTTAATAAAAATATAACGGATAACGGCAATTAAGCAGTAATTCAATTGCTTACAATTGAATTACAACTGTTAGGTTGGTACTAGGATAACCTAACTAAAAATGGCTTACCTATTAATATTTACTTTAAAGACCTGTATTACCTTAATAATTAATAACAGGTTAAGTGATATAAAATAAAGATTTACACCACAATCCTCATTGATCTTAAGTTTATCCATTTATATTTATGTTATCTTCTGATAACTGTTACCCTTAAGTATTATGTGTGATAAATAATTTATACATAATGGATTTTTTCCATTGTAATAATTGCTATGTCCAACCTGGACCTCCCTTAAATAAAAAGTTTTGGTTGACTAATTGTGGCCATTCTTTTTGTCATGATTGTATTAATACAAGTAAGCTTCTAATTTCACATAAGTGGACAAAAAAACAATTATATACTGAATGACATTACTGTTATTTTAGGTGACCCTAAATGCAAAGCATGTTTAAATGACTGCAAGTACATGGCTGTCAATGATGTAAGTTTTAAAGAAATAAAAATAATAATAAGCTTTCTATGGAATAAATTAATAATTGTACTTATTATTTAAGATGCCAGCAGATTTGAAGCAGTTATTTTCTGATCCTGTTAAAGAACTCAAAAAAGCTGTCAAAATTTTATCAATTCAGAATAAGCATTGCCAGATATATATGGAAGAATATGTTCCTAAATTGGTATGCTATGAAATACTAGTAATATTGGTTGATCTTATTCATGAGCAAACATACTTAGTCTAAATTAATCTTTGCTCACATAGTCAATTTTGCTCAAATGACTTGACAATAAGAAGGAGTGCATCGCATGATCTTGAATTTTTAATGTCTAGGAATCTAAATATGTGCAAGCCAAAATGGTGGTTGAAAACAATAAAACCTTTATTGAAAGTGCTAAAAAGGCTATAGAAAACAAAAATGCAGAAATACAGTTGCTACGCTCTCAAATTGACAAATTAAAAACAGATCTTGAGAATGAACGAAAGTAAGAAACATTAAATGTTGTATGTTATAATTTAATTTTTTTTTTTATGACTGTTTAAAATAATTCTGAATTATTTGTCAACAGATTAAAAAATATTTTATAAAAATTATTCTTGTGTGAATAAATAAAAATAATAAGTAACTTATATTTTTGTGTACTATTTTATACATTAAAAACCAAACTCATAACGCTATGTTTTATTTAAAATTTGAATTAGCATATTGAGGATGGTTTAATTTTACTTAGCATGAAAAAATATATTAAATAATTTTGCCATTTTTAATTTGATATGCTGTCATACAAACTATAAGCCCTTCAAGTAAATGATTATTTTTTATCCAACTTTTTGGTCTTTAACATTAGTTGTTTTAACTATGTTAGAACTAGTTATTTACTTCTATTCAGACAAATTTTTATTTAAGTGTTTCCCTTTTCATTCTTACTTACACTTTTCTCAATTTTATCTTTTGTCTCCAAACTAGCTTACTTCATCAATTGTAATTGTGAATGTGATGGAATTGGAGTGTAAAAAATATATTTTTGTTCTTAAATTGGTATGTTAGGAAATACTTATAATATTGGGTTATCTCATTCAAGGGTGCCCATCCTCCCCATGGCTCATAAATCACTCCCCCCTCTCCAAAAATTGTATTACCCACCTCTTCTTAAAACAGTGCCAGCAAAATTATAATTACAAAAATTGTAACAAATAAACAATTACACTAGTTGTGTCTGTCTCATGTTTTACACCTAGTTCTCTATTTTGAAACTTTTCACTCCGAAAATTTATAACTCCGTCAAAATTTGCCCTCTTAAAAGTTAAAAATCCCGTCAAAATGTGCCCTGCTCAAAAAGTTAGATGGCACAACTTGCGCCATGAAACTCCTTCTGGGCACCTCTGATCTCATTAATATAATTCAAAACAGTATTTGGAAGTTTATTGTTTAAAATATGGTAACTATAAAAATAAAATAGCTTTTTTTCCTTATATAAAATAAATTTTATTGCTCAAAGAAAATAAAGTTACCATTGAGGCAATACGTGTTTTGCAGAATTGGCTTATTATGTTTGGCTACATGACTGCCTGCTCATGCAATGAGACCAATTTTCATATTATAATCAGCTGTTTATAACTTCTTATTCCTCTCCTCCTTGTTTCGAGGGCCTTTCTGTTGCAGGTTTCTTCTTGTGAGGATAAAGTCTGCTGGCTTTTCTAGAAATATTTTTTTTATTTATTTTTTAATTTGGTCCTTCCTTGCCTTTTTTTTGCCCGGACAGAGGATTAATCTCAGAGTTAAAAGTCCCCTTGGCACTGGGATATGAACTCAATATTATTTTATCAAATAACTTCTATCCTGCTTGCCAGGCAATGGGCGGTGCTGCAGACGTGTCAGTGAAGGACACAACTCAGGAATATGCTCCCAATCCGTAACACCAGGGCTATGAAAAATAGTAAGTTGTTCTTCTTCAACAGCCTTGGAAACACTTATTTTGTAATTTCCTTAGTTCCAATGCTCCATCAGGCTCCAGCTACACAATATTTTTTTATGTAGGATTTCAAAATGAAAAGATAAAGAAAAAATGGACAGACTGAAACAGAATGGTGATGAGCCAGACATGACTTTTTTTTCATGCATATGTCATACATGAAACAAAATATTATTACAAACAGCAAATAAATATTACAGTGACCAATCATTCACTGATTTCAGAAAAAACTCATGTTTACATCAGCAACAGGGCATGTCTTCTCCTACTTTAATCAGCTCACCTAGTAGCTTTGGTTCTGGCTCTAATCAGGTATTTTTATTTTATGACTTTGTAAATGATATAATAATCATACTTAGCAATAATTTATATCTCTGTAGCATAGACGAACACTGTTGTATATATATATATATATATATATATATAGTTGGTTTATTGCAAAAAGTCACTAAATGCATTTTTGATATAGATTAACTTCCATATTTGTTTTTATAAATTTCGACTTTATTTATCTATACAAAAACACCGTAACTGCATGAAAATTATACAAAACCTTTTATTTATCACATATAGTTTTAACATATAGTGGATTAAGTCCACAATTTTCTAATTTCACAAATTCATCAAAGTTCTTAATTATTTGAGGTCATGAAATGTCACTTTATGACTTTTAAACTGACGACATACATGTATATGTGTATGTAAACGACATATGTGTATGTATGCTTGAGTGATCATGCATACATTCATATGTGTATACATATGAACAATTGGAAGTATTGGTAGATTTTGTCAAACAATCAACATTTCCAAGTGGTTATTAAATTGTTTGCATCTCTAGAGTCTCTCCAAATAAAGTTAGTGGGTTAAAGTTTTCCATTTTTCGCCTGCCATTTTGAAAAATTAAATTTAGAAAAAAATAATCAACTGTTTTAAAAAAAAACAACAGCAGTTCAGTTGATTTTAAAGTTTTACTTAATTTTCTCATGTTTTCAAACAAAAATTTAGAAAAAAGATATGCCCTTAGTGATTGTGTTTGCTGATTATACTTTTATTTATTTATTTTTATTCTCACAATCAAACAAAATAAATTAAATATATTTCTGATTCTCTAAATCATAGTTATCCAACCAGAACAATATTAAATTAGTATATAATTTTTTATAATTCTTATAATGAATATTTAATAAAAACAGTTTCTACCATTGAGGAATCATGTTTTTCCAGGAAGGATTTTTCACCCCAAAATCTGGACTCAATACAAGTAGCAAATTAGCACCTTTTAGGTAATCGTAATTATGATATATTTCTATACTACTTTCCCAACTTTATGCTAATGTCAGTGTACTATGAAATCCACAAATTTAAATAATATGCTATTTAAGTAATAGTTTATTTTTATTATATTATTTTAAATGAATTTATTCTCAATAACTGGAATAATATTTCTTTGTTTTTCAATTTGGCTGAAAACGTGAATAATATAACATATAATAATCATAAAAATATGGTTAAATGTTCTATGATCAGTTCAGTTTAAATAAAAAAAATGAATTTGAAGAAGGGTTTATATGTTTTTATAAACTTATTTTATTTTATTTTCAGTTTTAACTTCACGAATAGACAGAATAATGCTTATTCAACATCAAGTCCTTTTGGTCCAGAAAAGTAAGCACTTGGTTATATATTTTTTCCAATATTTTATCATCACACTTATTTATATTGTGAGATGGTTTGAACAATATGAGTCATAACTTGGAATAATGTTTTTCTATTAAATAAAATATTTGTCAATTTTGATCTTATAATCATCACATTTATTTTATAAAGTTTGAAAGAATTATTTCCTCTTGTTCTAATATTTTTTGTCTTATAAAAATCAAGTTATGTGGGTTTTTTCCTGCCCAACCCAAAAAAAAAAACAACACTCTAGGACCTTGATTACCTATATATCTTTTTTTCAAGAACCCAAATTTACCTATCAACAAATAAAAACTATATGAAATCTAAAAATACAAATATTTTGTTTCATGTTAATACATTTTTAATTCCTTATTATAAAACCTAACCAACATATCAACAGACACACTGCAAAAGCCTGTAACGGAAAATGAGGTTTTGAGCTTTACTGGTCAATCTTGTCCTGGAGTATATTCTGATCCCATAAAATTAAATTTACAATGTTTCATTTCTTCTCTATGGCCTTTTGTAAAAACCTGTAATTTAAAAACCATTAGATTGTGATATAAAAAACTGAAGTTACACTGAAGATTAAAGAGATTGTGTCATTACCAAAAAAACATAATGAAATTCTCAATCCGAGCATTCGTGGATCAAACTATGTCCATATAAAGTTGAATAAGTTAAAAACAAATCTTTCACAGACTAGTCCAAAATGGGGAGCATGCATTCCATTTGAGCTGCCCCTACAGGAGAGATGGGCATATTTATATTCAAAAATATAAAGACGAATACCATTTATATTTATGGCACTTTTGAATATAAATATGAATATATATTTATATTCATAAAAAGAAATATGAATATAGATGGTACGTATTCACAGCTGTAGATATAAATACGGCCGCATTCCATCCAGATGTGAATGGAAATATTTGCACACAACCTTGTGAATTAATACTCTTATTTATTAAATAAACATTAATTTATTTGTTACTTTAGGTATTTTTTAAAATACCTGTAGGGCCTACAGTGGGAAACAAAAAAGGGTAAAACCCGTGTGATCAAATATTAGCTTTCCAGTCAAATCTTTTCCAAATTTTCATTTGAAGTATTGATTCTCAACATTTTGGAAAATGATTTTGTTCCTATCATATTTTGATCATAACTAACAAAGTTATGGGTATTACTACAAAAAATTCAGTTGCTTTTATCTAACTAATATCTGTTTTTCAAGGTAACTAAAAAGCTATGAGTTATAAGTAGAGCTAAAAGATTATTTGGCAGAAATATGTTCAAAAAAAGTTACATAGAGCATTACGTCATTGTCTTAGGACTGCAAAAAAAAAAAATTAGACCGAAAATATAATGCTCCTCGAACAAAAATAATTCAGTTTTTTTTGTCTCCTTAAAATTTTTAGTTTTTGTTCTTACAGGATTTTGCAGTGTGGCTGTCAATATGCTAAAATTAACAATTAAAATAAGAAACATTATCAAAAATAGTTCACCTTTTTTATAATGGTATAATATAAATTTTAAAAAAGAGGTTCAATAGTACATAATAATTGTCACATTTTCACCCTTTTGATCCCGTTGAAGATCTACTAAGGGAGTTCAACCATTAACCAAACAATACTCACCTTCTTTCTTCAAAATCACCAAGACTCAAAACATATAGAGTTAAGAATATCCATTCCATTTAAAAACATTCATAAAAATAATTTGAGTTTAAATTTTAATAATAATCGTAAATTCAGAATTTTTATTATACTTTGTAATTAATTAAATGATAAGAAATAAGAAATATTTCTAAATTATTTATTTATTTTCTGTAGGAGAAAACTGACTGCTTTGGAGTTGTTATTTAAAAACAAGGAAGCGTCTGTAAGGTAATAAATTATTAATATTAATTATTGAAATATTATAGATTTCAAAGTTATTTATTTTCAATTCTGAAATATAGAGCCTGCTTTCATTAAAACTGTCTCTTAGAGTTCAGTGAATACAACACATTCACACTCAAGTCCTATTAAATTTCTTTCCAAACATTTATTTTAATTGTTAAAACTTACTGCGCCCTTTAGATAATCAGGCTAGCATACCGTTAAAAAAATTCAGGTCTATGACAGCCCATCCATGATTTAAGGGCACTTAAGAGGTGAAGCTATGAACTTTAATCACCCCTCGATCCAGACTAATTTCCTATTAAACTACATGAAACAGAATAAAAATAGAAATTTGAATTGAGGTAACTAAATAAACTACTGAAAAGAACTTTATATTAATAAATTACAAGTATATCCAAAGGAAGAAGATGGTCCGGGGTGGCAGTCATAAATAGGCTAAATAGTGGTAAAACTATTTTTATTAAAAGCCGACGTTTCGACCCGACTTTGCAGGTCTTCTTCAGGGAGGTGTGTTCAGCTAGGAATTTCACTTAGAACTGTTAGTTTCACTTAGAGCTGCTTAGCAGTTCTAAGTGAAACTCCTAGCTGAACACCCCTCTCTGAAGAAGACCTGCAAAGTCGGGTCGAAACGTCGGCTTTTAATAAAAATAGTTTTACCACTATTTAGCCTATTTATGACCGCCACCCCGGACCATCTCCTTCCTTTATAATGCAACGGTCAACTATTAAATATTCAATACAAGTATATCCATATATCAAACAAATGTTTCATTACACTTCTAGTTGTAAAACAAATTTAAGTACCTTAACCTTTTAGCGACGATGAGTGGTAAGGGTGGATTGTTCTTGGTTGAATACTTTTCATCATCTTTACTGACTACTTACGAGTTTTTATTTAACGCATCATTAAAAAATTTCCTTAATTTCCAGTTGTATATCTTGTAGCATATATTTACTATAACATATATATTGTTTATTATGAAAGTCAAATTAGAATTAACCATTGAAGTAATTACTATGTTTATATGGACAATATAAAATATTAATCACTTCTGTCTATTACTTTATAACTTATTTAAAATATATGCAAAAAAGACTCTTCAAGTATGAATTATAAAAACATGTTGATGGCATGTAGGAAAAAACAGTACAAATTTAAAACTAAATAACACATTACTAATGCAAAAAAGACTCGATCACTGTAGCAGGTCTAGGAGTATCTTACTATCAATATTTTCAATTTCTTTATTTTTTTTATTACTTCAACAGAATTGGTTGATAATCCTTGGTATAATTAATATATAATTATAGCACATATAATATATAATTATTGCTTCTAAAATATTTCAAAATTAAAAGAAAAAAGATAAATAACAAAGGATTTCATATGAGGAACATAGAATTATGAGAAGAAACAATGTTTGAGGAAGTATTGAGTGAAAAAAGTGTTAAATCACAGAATGTTTAGAAAAGAAAGTCGAAAAAAATAGAATAGCATCGGTGCAGAGGGGTATGAAAGAATTGAGAAAAGAACGACATGCTCAAGAATATTTGATAGTTATAATTTATGAAGCTTAAAAGAAATTAATAAGTATAATCTTTTTTTTTACAGTCAAGGTGTAAAAATGAAATAGAAATATCATTACACTATATTAATTTTATTTATTTAAACATGATAAATGAAGACTGTTACTTTCCCACAGAAATAGTCCAGGTGAAAGAACACCTAGGACACCTGGAACAAGAAGTAATCAGACATTCAACATGAGTATTAATGTCAAAAGTCCAGATAGGTAAGACTAATTAATTAACTTTAATGAAATTTTTCAGTGACATAAAAATATTAATAACAAAAATAGTTTATAAAATGTAGCATTTTAATAATTAATTATTCACAAATTATCCATAACAATCCTTGTAAATTAAACAGGTTGTGTTCCTATATTTTTGTGACCTATGTAAAATAAAACAAGAAAAATATAGAATAGAGTTTGCATTTTGTACGCAGTACCTGTTTTAAACAGTGTTTTGGTTTTTTGAAAAGTAACTAATTAGTCAAGGCCAATAATTAGCCTTGTAGATACTGACAATTTTTAAACTTTTCATGTTTTAAATGGCTGATATTGAAATGATTGATCATTAATAATGAATTTTAAATTAATAAAAAAAAATATTAAGTTGTTATATGAAAAATATATAGCATCAAATTACAATTTAACAGTTTAATAAATCTTAATGTAGGTTGCTGAGTAAATAGTTAAAATTTAGTTCTGGATTAAACTGATAATATTACTCTGAGACATAACTATTCCCAAAACTAAAAAAAATATTTCCAGTTTCCAGTTATTCTTTTAGTAAATGAGTTCATGTTTCATTCTATCCTTTAGCTTAACTTATTTCAAAACCATTGAGGTCCAAGAATTACAGGTAAATAAGAGTAGGCTTAGTCTAAGAGTTAGTAAAAATCCCCAACTAGCAACTGTCCATTAAATTCTTTAAATATATTAATATGATTAACTTAAATAAATTGCAGCTGCAACAGCGATGATTCTCATGGATCTTATTCTGATGCAAAGCGTATGCCATCACCATTAGGAATTAGAATGAGGAATAATCAACGATCACTGAATGAAATGTAAGGCTAATTAAATCATCTAATTTGATCACTATAATGATTAACAAAACACTAGGGAGACTAATTATATCATAGACTGTATGAATTGATTGGAATGGAGGTTCTGAAATGCCATATTTTAGTTATTGTTCCATACAAAACCATCAATAGAGAGTTTTAAGAAAATTAATTAATTACCCGTAATGCAAATATTATTACAGATAAAGTTTAACTATTAAAGAACTAGAATGTAGTTCTGTATATAATGTAAAGTAGTTCTGTATTAGGAAGTTTCATAACTTTCCATTCTTAACTGAACTATTCTGAAGCATTCAAACATTGAACTTGTCATTTTTTTTTCATAATTTTTAGTCTAATGCCAGTTTCATTCCATATGGTTCTTATACTTGGACTAAAATTCATAGGGATATGTGGAAAACTAGGGATATATAGATAACCTAATAAATTTAATAATCTATTAAAGTGTTTCATTCTTCATAGTGAAGGGTTATTAAAGCAATCAAAAATAAAATTAATAATAATAATCAAATATCTTGGTATATTTTGTTTTAAAAATGAACACCCCTATAAATTAAAAAAAAAAAAGATGTCTTTTTTAGGTATATCAAGTTTCACAAAATATTTTTTTTTTGGCCTAAATCACTTTTTTGTGTATGAACACAACCTAGTATAATATTTTAAATTAAAATACATTCTAAATATCTAATTTAAAATTTATTTCATACAGGGAATCAATTTGTTGTAGCAATAATTATAAAGTTGGTTGCAATCCTAAATGCCAATTAAAACATTTACATAAACTTTAATCTAATTCAATATTAAATTCACTGGTCATTATTTAAAGAAAAAATAATATTAAGATTACTTGAAAAGATTTATTCTGTAAGATATATGGTTGCTGCTAAGAAATATTCTATTTTTTTTTTTCAAGTTAAAGTGCATTGAAGTTGAAAATAATTCACTTTCACTATACAAGATATTTCACCAAGTATAATAAGTTAATTTTATTATTTATAATAATAATATCTAATAGTATTATTACTTATGGTCTCCTCTGAGCCTCCTGAATACGTATTCTAAACATTTTAAAGAAGTTCATTAAGGCTTCTAAGATGATTAAGGTTTTTCTCTCAAAGTTAAAACCATTTTAAGGTTTTGTGTAGTTAACAAAAAGTGGAAATTTCTGCATGATATGGTTGACTGTACTATGGTCATCACCATACCCGACACTAGAAGAGGCTTATAGTTTTCGGAGTATCAATTTGAAAATTCACATAGACAATTCTGAGGCAACACAAGATGGTTTATTTTCCTCATAATAAACTTTGTTGTTTAAAGTTGAATCTGCTCTTTCATTTTCCTAAAGAAAGAAAATCATCTTATAATCAGCACCCATGTAGATTAAAATTATTTCTTTAAAATCACCAACAGTTTCAGGGTTTCAATCAAACATATCAAATAAAAACAATGTACTATTCCATGCATTTATGTATTACATCGCACTATCTTAACATTATTTCACTATCAAATTATTATATTTAACAATAATTTGGAACCACTTCGATACGGAGAAAAATAAATTTAATTTTTAAAAATAATATTGCTTTAAGGATTATGACAGTTTGGGGGAGGGAAAAAATAATGTTCTATAACACATTTTGTAAAAGTTTTGGAGATGAATAAGAAAAGAGTGATAAATAGGAGAAGAATAAAATACTATTAAATACTTTAAAGTTAGGAAATTAGGATTTTGAAAATTCCTTCAATGGCAGATTAATGAACAGTATTTTTATTTCATTGCCAACATACAATGTCTTAAAGTTTATTATAAGAAATGTAAAATTTATTTCAAATGAATTAAATAAATAATTTGAGGAGTTGATCGGGAGTTGCGGTGAAATAAATACTAAATTGTAGAAATAGTATCATTTAATTTTTTATGTTGACGTTTCATCAGCGCTATAAAAAATACAAAATATAAAAGGTACATGGTGAAAATAAAATAAATGAATTATAAGTAGATATTATTCTTATTCTTATTTAATACCTACTTATAATTCATTAATTTTATTTTTACCGTGTACCTTTTATATTTTGTATCTTTTGTAGCGCTGATGAAGACCTGCAAAGTGGGTTGAAATGTCAACATAAAAAATTAAATAATACTATTTCTATATGAAGAGAAGAATAGTTGGGGTGGTCGGTCAAAAAGGAAGGCAAAAAATAAATGATAATATTTATTTTTTACATATGCCGACGTTTCGACCTGAAGTTCAGGCCTTCATCAGGGCTAAGAAAATAACCAGATAACAAGGTATGAGAAACATAAGTAGTGATGGTAAAAAAAAAAAAATAATAATAATAAAAAATTTAAAAAAATAAAATAAATAAATATAAAGTAAAATGAAATTGTTAGAATAATGACTAAGAACTAAGAGATAAATAGTAATAACCGTTACAGAGTGTGGAATGATGAAGTAGGCGTAATCAAAAAGGGGTGACATAAGTGTTACAATGGGAATCTTAGAATAAAATGTAAAACATAAAAAAGAAATATGAAGTTATATAAGAAATGAAAATAAATAGTAAAATTAAAACATTGAGAATGGAGTAGTTAGATAGAAAATTGAGATATTGTAAAGTCTATCAAGATGTACAGACAATGTATAATATAATAAAGAGTTAAAAACAGAGAAAAGGAATGAAAGGAAGGAGGGAAGAAATTGAGAAAGCTGAAATAAAAAAAGTACTACCTGTCTCCTTAAGTGTTGCAGGGAGATATTGTCGGATAACCGTTAGAGATGACGCCACCTACACATCTCTTCTCTCTCCCCCTCCCTTGTAACGACTTTTATTCTCCCTGCAACTTACTTAAGGAGACAGGTAGTACTTTTTTTATTTCTTTCTTATTTCAGCTTTCTCAATTTCTTCCCTCCTTCCTTTCATTCCTTTTCTCTGTTTTTAACTCTTTATTATATTATACATTGTCTGTACATCTTGATAGACTTTACAATATCTCAATTTATATTTATTTATTTTATTTTTTTTATTCTTATTTTTTTAAATTTTTTATTATTATTATTTATTTTTTTTTTTTTACCATCACTACTTATGTTTCTCATACCTTGTTATCTGGTTATTTTCTTAGCCCTGATGAAGGCCTGAACTTCAGGTCGAAACGTCGGCATATGTAAAAAATAAATATTATCATTTATTTTTTGCCTTCCTTTTTGACTGACCACCCCAACTATTCTTCTCTTCATTATCCACGACAGTCAAGCAATTACCAATTACTATTTCTATAATTTAGTATTTATTTGACCGCACCTCCCGATCAACTCCTTCTCATATTATATCATGGCCAACCATCTCTACATCATTATAAATAAATAATTGTGTGAACAGTTAGTTGCCTAATGATTTTTTCTTTGTTCAATAGAAATTCTCAAAGAAGAAACTCAGGGATAATGTCTGGTATGTCATCTCCAGCTTCATTCAAATCAGCAAATATTCAAAGGCCATCAAGCGAACTGTAGGTGGAATTGTTGACATAACTATGATATATGTTTGTTAGGAACTATGATATATACTTCTGACATTCAGAACTATATTTTAAGAATATGATGGGTAAACACGATCATATTTACACAAATATTAACTTCATGGTGATACATTAGAAAAACACACATTTTTCAAAAGAAAATCAGTGCTTTTCAAAAAAAGAATTTTTTTCTTATTTGAATTATTTCATTTTATCATTTCAATATAGTATCTACTTTTTTATCTCCCATCTTTCTTTCCTCACGTAATTTTACTCTGATTGAGCTTTTTGTTTTCTTTTTCTTACCAGAATGTTGCACATACTTAATCAAAATCAAATTCTACTAATGTTGGTAATTATCATTGTTAATCACCATGTAAAAAATCTAGTGCGCGCAACACACAACTTTCACTTATCTCTCTACTTTGAATAGAAATTATTTTTTGGCAATGTTGGGCTAAATAATAATAAATAAAACCCTGATTACTCCATCTGTTTTTAACCACTCAACTTCAGTCTCTGAGCTATAGATGCCTTTCAGTTGACAGAATGACTAACTCCAATTTCAACATTTTTGAGTAATGTCATTTTAGTGCTATTTCTAGTTGGAAATGTTATAACTATACAGACAGTGAGAAAGTTGATTCTAGAGTAGGTGATAGCAGAGCTGATGTAAAGAACTGTGCATACAGTGATACACCTAATTTAATCAAGATTGTTAGAGCTGTTTTTGAGAAAATTGTATAAATGTGTTTCACCGTTGATATAAAGTAGCATTTCTGGTTATAAGGAAAAAGTAGCTGTAAAATCTCAGTCAGATACCTATCTTAAATATGTAATATCAGTTTCGTTGGACTTTCCGTTTTTGAGCTAGACTGCTAACTTCCACAGACCATTTTGTGAGACTTGGTTATTTAGACTCAGGGTACCTCAAAACGTGTATTTCCGGTGAAAACTCAGATTAGAAAATTTTCACGATCGCAATACTTTCTCTTGCTGTATATAGGTAAGTGAAAGTAAAAATTAATATGTTTTACTATTTATTTTTAACATAATATTAGAAACACAAGTTAGAATGCCCAATAATTAACGAATGTACCAATCATTGACAGAACGACAGATTAAAAACACCATTCAAGAAAAGTTTGATTATATATAACATTGGAACTAATCTTTATACACGGTCGATAATATATATAATTAGGTATTTGACCAATACAGAATCTTTTAACTAGTTATTGAATTCTAATGAACTGACAATTTTTACTTAAAACAAATGCTTTACAGAACAATAAACATACTTTATCTTATGAGTAAGAATTGCTAACATTTATTTTGTTTTGAAAAAGTCAATCTATTATTACTATTGATAATATATGACTGTCTTTATTTATTTTTTTTTTGTAGTTGAAGGGGTAATGAGTCCATATACATAATAGTATAAATAAAATAAATCGTAATAAAATATAAAAGAATAAATAAATTTTATGGAACAGTTATTTATCACAAAATGTCCTTTCCATATTGGCAAAAACTGACCTTCACATTGTGATGTCACTTTTTCATGTGGGAAATGAATATAGATAAGAATACAAAAATATATTTATTTGACCTTCTTCACTCAACATTTTTTATTAATCTCTAAGAAAATTAATGCTAAATGCATTTTATTTAACAATTAACATTATAAAACCTTATAACTATTCCTAACACTATCATTGATAGTAACAATGATAAAAAAGAAAGCCGCACTGAAAATTTTAAAGATATTAATTTTTTTAAAGATGATTCAATAAACTATTAATTATATATTTTTTTATTTTTCAGGGGACGAAAGTTCTTTTAATTAAGCAGGATATAACAAATAATCTTACTTCAAAAGACTATGACTATTTAATCAAGATTAAGAATCATTCAACTTATAAAATCAAAAGTAAATCAAATGAAATTGTACATTTAATTTATTATAAAAAATGTTATTAATACAAATTTATCGATATAAATAAACCATTTTTCAATGTATTCGTTTATTTATTTTCTTAAAATCTGCATTGTAGTTACAAGAAACATATTAAGTAGGTAAGATAAATCTTACCCTTTCAGATTCACAAGATGATCACAGATCACAAGATTGGCTATGTCAGAATCACTAAAATTGATACATAATTAAAGTACATACATATGTACCTAGTGATGCCCCCTGCTTAAACCAAATGACTGATAGGTTTTGCCCCAATTTTCCAAAAATGTCAGCTTAGTTTTACAAAATCAAGAAAAAGAGAGTAGAGGAAATTTAAATGTGGCTTTAAATAGGCAGACATTTAAATGTGAGAATCAAATAAATATGGACATAACGTTATTTTTTAAAAACTGAATTTCTAAATAATATGCAGTAATTAGATATACACAAATAAAATTTGCAGTGAGTATTTTTGACATAATTCTAAAATTGGCACACAATTAACATATAAATTTATTAGTTACTGAATTCAAAATATAACTGTTTAGTTATAAATATGTATATATGTATAACATATTTACATAGAAAGCACCATCTAAAAATATATTGTTAAATAACAATAATTAAATTCTTTTATGTAAGAATATAGAAAACTTATTGAAGAATTTTTTTAACAACAGCCACTACATCGGATGGCCTAGGTATTGCAGCAGCTTCCAAATCTTTAGCATATGGCATTGGCACATCAGCTCCGGTAATCCTGACCATTGGTGCATCAAGCTCAAAAAATGCACTACTCTCCATAACTCGTGCACATATTTCAGCACCAATTCCATGTTGTGGCCAACCTTGTTCAACAGTGATGGCACGGTGTGTCTTCTTAATAGAATTACAGATGGTTTCAGTGTCTAATGGTCTCAAAGATCTTAAATTAATAACTTCACAAGAAATACCTTGTCCTTCTAGCTCATTTGCAGCTTCAAGGGATATTTTGACTGCTCTGGAATGTGCGATTAATGTCACATGTTTTCCCTGTTTTTCAACTTTAGCTTTTCCAATGGGTAGTACGAAATCTTTCGATAATACTTCATCTGATACAGGGAAATGATCTCCATAAAGAATTTCATTTTCCAAAAAAACTACTGGATCTGGATCCCTAATTGCAGCTTTTAAAAGCCCTCTGCAATCTTCACTACTGAAAGGGGATAAAACTTTTAGTCCTGGGCAATGTGCATACCAAGCACCAAAACACTGTGAATGTTGAGCTGCAACGCCACTAGCAGCTCCATTAGGTCCACGAAAAACAACAGGAACATGAATAGTTCCTGCTGACATGTAAAATGTTTTTGCTGCGGAGTTTATTACTTGGTCAATTGCTTGCATAGAAAAATTGAATGTCATAAACTCACAGATTGGTCGTAGACCTGCCATTGCGGCTCCAACTGCGACCCCAGCAAATCCCATTTCTGTAATTGGAGTATCAAAAACCCTTTTGTCACCATACTTCTTCCACAGACCTTTGGATATTTTATAAGCACCATCATACTGAGCCACTTCTTCTCCCATTAGAAAAACTCTTTCATCCTTTTCAAGTTCCTCATCTAATGCAGAGTTTAAGGCATCTCTAACAGTCATAGTTTTTCCAGCACTTGCAGCTCTTCCCACCGAGAAGGAACGATTTAAGACCTTAAGCACTTTTTGAGACTGCATCATCTTTAATAATTTTGGAATTAAAAGATGAACGAATTATAGTTTTCGATAGTTTTCCTCCACCAATTAACTAATTTTAAATTATAAAAATAAACTGATAAAAAAATTAATAAAACAATAAAGCTCAAAAGACTAACAGAAAGTAACTAAATGTCAATTGAACAACCTTATGGTAGGTTTCAACTCAACCGAACATCTGATCATGTGTAAGATCACGCGTTCGTCATGCATAGATAAACTAAACCTTCAAATTCATGAAGCAAGAAATACGTCAGGATTATGGAATATGTTTTATCAGAGACAAACTTCATAGAACTTTTTTGTAGGTTAATATATATTGGTGAAAACTTGGAATAAATACAATGTTTGTATTTACTATGATAAATGTGTTGAAAAATTATCAAAAAAAGAAACATTTTACATAAATAAGGCATTATGTAATATAGAGCTTGTAAAGTCTTGATTATATTGGTTAAAATATAAGCAATTCATACATCCTTGGATGGTATTGACGAGAGGGAAAACCGACCAATCAGAGAGCAGAATTTCGGTTGAAATACGCGGGCTCGCGAGCCATCTGTTATGGCTGTTCAGACCGTTCTCAGTCACAGACCTAGAATGACTTCCACAACTACATTCGGAGGATTTAATCCCGAAGGCCGCAATTCTAGCAAGTAAGTTAATATTACCTGCTATAACAATGTTTACAATGCAATGATGTATTTATATTCTTAAAATTTTAAACTGATTACTGTATATTTTATGAACATTTACTGTTATTAACAACTTATCATTTGTGTTATACGATTTTATATTTTGTGGTCAGGCGATTGATTGGATACAATTTTTCTTTTTTTTAAGATCAATATTTGTTGAAACTTAGGGAGTATATCTAGTAATGTGTTCTGAATGAATTTCTCTAAATTGGAGACAAATTCATGTTATTTGATTAAGTATCTGTATTTGAAGAAGCAGATTTTTTTCGATTTATGTCTCTTATGATTTTTGACAGTAAATGAACACTCTATTTTCGAGATTGTATTATGATCATTTTTGTAATACCTAACACATGATGATATCGATACATGATAAACAGATCATATGTTTTCGATTATTGATATGTTTGCTTCAAAGGGCAAGGGGTGTGTATTTAATAATTAGATAAACAGTTGGATTAATTATCTATTTATTGTTGAACTTTTGTTCTTCATCAAACATGACCCTTTTAGTTTATTGTTTATGAAGCTCTGTTAAATTTATGTTTTGTTTTGAATATTTAAAAGTATTTCTGATAAAGGGTGAACTCATTTACTGCATACCTGGCTGACTTCTACCTACTGCAAGGTTCTGTTTGTACTGGTTCATACCGGTTCTCTCCACCTCTTCCCATTTTCCTTTGTGTTATTCCATCAGCTGATACCTTTCTCTACCCTCATTGTAGTTACTATATTTTTGACGATTATAGTATCAAATACATTTTGTTTTCTTTACGTTTTATGTTTATAGAAATTCGTTGTCACAATAGCAGGTGAATTTCTGTAAGAATTTTAACAATAGATTGATATGTACCGTTTTTTAAATAAAATAGCAGAGTATTGATAATTTCAGAGCATTTTTCATAAAATTTAACCGAAGGTTAATTAGCAATGTTAATATTTACTTTGCAAATTTTGATACAATAAATTTAAAACTTAATCATAAAATTTGTACGTAAGATTATTAGCAATGAGATTTGGAAGTTGTGGCAACGTGTTATGATGGTATATATTTAAGTGTTAACAAAGTTATATTATTTCAAAAGTATAAATCACCTTGTCAAATTCCTTTTAACCATTCTAGAAAGAGGGAACTTTTTTTACAAATTAAGATATGTACGATCTTCAAGTAACGACAACCAAACCAATTTTTGTTGCTTGTCATTTAAAAAAAACAATTACAATTATTTTGTTACGGTCGATGAAGTTCCAAAACAATTTTTTAGTAACGTACTTGTATAAATTGATATTTTTTTTGCCAAATTTTATTTTCCATCACCCTTTTTTGGTCTTTTAACAAATTTTTTTTTCTTAAATCCTTAAATGATTTTCGTTAAGAGCCATGTCCACAATAAGATTTAAAAAAAAAATGTTAAAAGCGAGCCGAAAATTTCACCCCCATTGTTGCAGCAATTTTTTCTCAAATAAGGTCTTATTTTCCATTGGTTTGTGAAATAATTGAACACATTTTTTACTCATCTTTTTGCTCAATATGCAAATAAAAATTCCAATTAAAAAATATCCTAAAAATGAGAGACGTTCTGCATATTGAGGTTGATACTATATGCAGAAAGTTGGATTGCTGACCATTTTTGAAGGCCTTTTTTATTTTTGTCAAATTTAGATATAATTATCCTGCATTGTTTTTGAAAAAATGACAAAAATAATGTTTCTTTTGCATTTTAAAAAATTTGAATCAGTTTATAACAGTTTAATTTAGTGCATTTAATTTGCGTTTTTCGATATGTTGAGGGAAATTCGGCACAGTCTATTAACATAATGCATTAAATGCAAGAGGCAGTTGTACTCAAGTTTGATCAAAATGGGTTTGAGTCATGAAATGTTTACTGGACGATTTACTAAACCTTTGAACAATATATAAGTAATTTCCATCTTGTTGATAGAATGTTATCTTTACAGAGAAGATTCTCTATTATCATAATTGTACCGTAACACATGTACCGTAAAGTAATAAGGAACTTTGAATTCAGCAGTAGTACTATTTCTTGGCTAACAATTGGACAAAGAAGTTGCCAAGATCACTCTCAAACGCCAGATTTTACTCACAATTAAGGTTACCAACTTTACATAGGATGAATCTGCCCTAGGAGAGTCTCCTGATACATGGCTGATGTTACGGAATGAAGAATTATCTGATACAGCAGGAAACGAACCCGCGCTCAAGAGGTACCACGGTGCCGTAATCACTGAGCTTTTCATATTATAAAATACGAAGTTGAATAAATGTTATTTATTTATATATAATTGGCAAATTCCATCCATAAATACTTGCATCTGTAAACAAAATTAACGCTGTTTCGCCAATTCAGTGAACGGGACAGAAAAATCCAAGATCCATTGGCGAATCCAGAGAAGGTAAGATGGAGATGGAACAGAACTCTTTCTCCTTCTTTTGTAGAAAAAAGCTGAAGTAAAACAGCTACAGACATCTTAAAAATTGATTAACTGCGAATGTTTGGTTGTTGCTTTTTCAACATTTTGTAAGAAACTAATAACCAAAAAAAGTCCAATTCCCCCAAAACTAAATTAACTGCTCCCTTTAGTTTTGAGCTAACTATTTCCTTGCAAAGATCCAAAGGCAGAACCTATAAAATTTAGTGCAGTATTTGCATACAGGCAATCCCAAAACAGCACATCTCTCGTAAACAGCTCTAAAAAATATCAACCAGATACATTACTCCAAGACATACAGTCTTTCTTAAAACTTAACTATGCATTAATTACTTAAAGTTAAATGTTTATTTATTTTAATCCCATAGTATCCAACTTTTTTGTATCACTTACGTACGTACTACCTTTCGACCGAAGACCAGTGGTATGCATTGATGAACTTACAAATAATAAGACTCTAAGTTTTACATTGCATTTCGGTAATAAGAAATGCCGCGATAATTTTAAATGATAACCTTCTAAATTCCGTCGTTGATGTAAGTTGTTTCTTTGTTTTATATTTATAAAATTTTCGGTTATTCATGAAATGAATAAACTATTTCTGTAAATTATTTTTTTATCTTATAAATTGCCTTTCATTAAGTAGCATTTTAGTAATAATTAATTTGAAATATTTATAAATTATAAACAAAAGTTACGATCAAGGAATACATGTGCTCACATATCTCTGACTTGTTGGAAGATATTACAGTACTTCCTAATTGTTTCAGAAATATTATATTATTTTCTAATGTGTTTAAAATATATAATCTGTAAGTAAAAATTCATTGATTATTTACTGCGCTTATCTGCTGTTAATGAATATCAAATGTTTTGGCGAGGGGTCTAATCCTTGGGGTCATAGCCCCTATAAAATTGTTCCAGTCTTGGTTGAGACTAATCACATCTCTATGTCTTCAGCTTGTTAAGTTTTATCAGTCTTTTATATTATATAAAATTAAAAGCTTATCGGTTTATCTAATCTCTGGTAAAATTTTCTTTTCCTTTTAATAGTCATAATGCTCCTTGCTCATCCTACGAGATTACTCCTAATTATCTAGTTAATATTTAAATGTTTAGCCATCACATTTTTGCATCTACAATGAAATTCGTAATGATGATCACTATTACATTTTTATGAGAAGGAGTTGAACGGGGAGGAGGGCGGTCAAATAAATACTAAATTATAGAAATAGTATTATTTAACTTTTTTTGCCAACGTTTTGCCCCACTTTGCAGGTCTTCATCAGGGCGTAGGATGTAGCCCTGCGGGAGGCAGTTGAAACACTGGCCATGGAAACGTCGACAAAAAAATTAAATAATACTATTTCTATAATTTAGTATTTATTTGACCACACCCTCCGATCACGGTCAACCATCTCTACATCATTAGATTTTTATGATTGACATAAACGTCTACTGAAGACACAGCTATAATTCGATAAAATAATGAACAGATTACAAGCCTTATTTAAAAAGTTCAGTGGTAATTTTGCGGAACGGATGATAAAGTAAACGAACAAAATACAGTCCATCATATTCACTAATCAATATCTCAGAACAAATAGAAACGTCGATTGGACTCGGTCTATCCATTACTTAGGCTTGGAAATGGACAGATCCTTAACGTTTACCGAATACACAATAGCATAGAGGTAAAAATATAAACATAAACCCTAAAATAAAAGAAATTCTATTATCAATGGAGTATAGAGATACGTGAGGAATCATAGAATTTACGTAAAACGGACCAATAGCTTGACCAAATTGGTTGCTTTTCTGTATCAGCAGTTTGGATGAAGGCGTATTTTGATAACATCTGTGTGTTACTTCTCTGCAACGTTATTTCACTGAATAGCGAAGCTTTGAAAAGAATATATAGGTTTCCGTTACATTTTTATTAATTATTTAATTTCCCCCATAGTTATGTTTAGTTGGATACGCTGTTGCCAAAACAAAACCTGTACTGACTCACTTATGTACGTGATTCACCTGCGTGAATCAGTTATGTCGTTATCCGCCACGCCGGCTGTCATTATATTAGTGCGTTATAATTAATAACGAACGTTACCGATGGTGGTGCGTCTGGCCTGTTCAAATATTTACTCCCAAAACCTCCCAGCTGCTCTGCATGTGGTTACCATTTGTTGTTGGAGCTGGGGGGCGATTGATGGGTTTCCTCGTCATTTGTTATCCATTGCTGGTCATGATTTTGCCCACAACTAAAGTAAAAACAGAATAAAAATATATTAGCATGCTTAGTTTGTTTATCATGTAAATAAATGATTCTGGATTAACCCCTCAGTATAGAAAGCTATAATCGCTTTAGGGTTAGGTCTAGATAATAGAAATAGAAAATAATTTTACTCTGGGACAAAGTCCCTTTAGAATAACAAAATAGTACATAATTAAAAGACTACATCCGGCCAAAATAAAACAATAATAAAAAAAGAGAAAGTTAAGAAAATATTAGTTAAACAAGCTATATACAAAAAAAAAACAAAAAAAAAAAAACTATATACACTTAAAACTATTTACAGTAGGAAAAATTATAATTATAAACTTTTTAGAAATAAAATAATAAAAAATACATTTAGTTCTTCTTTAAAATAATTTTCTGCTAACATAGGAAAGACGAATCTGACAATATAAAATGTCAGAGTATTTAAATTTTTTTTTTTTTTTTTAGCTTTAATGTTTTATTCACACCTGTCATAATGCTAATGACAACCAGTGAATGTGAGATCGATTGATTAATAGAATTGTCATGAAAGGCATGAGGAGGATCAGTGCCCAGCGGCACCTCACTCGGCGTGATATCTACATTAGGCGAGGAGGTCCCTCATCCAGCTCCTCTTCAGTCTCCTACAGACGTTACCGGGCATATTCGTAGTGGCCATGTCATTTATAAGTGTATTAGTATGTCCTTGTAAGTTGTCATGGAATCGTTTGTAATGAATACGTATGTGTTCGTTAACAGTCGGCATATGGAGGTCAGTATGTAAGGTTATGTTGCTAACGTACCAAGGTGCTTTTGTAATTGTTCTGAATGTTTTTGCTTGAAAGATTTGAAGTTTGTTTAAGTGAGTCTTTTTAGCAGTTCCAAATATCTGTGATGCGTAAGTCCAAATAGGTTTTAGTAAGTAATTGTATGTGTTCAATTTCTGTCTAAGTTTTAGTTTTGAATTTTTTGAAAGAAGTGAACTCAGAATTCTTAATCTTTGATTTAAAGTTTTTCGTTTTTTGATTATATGTGGGCCCCACGTCATTTTTCTGTCAAATGTCAGACCAAGGTAGTGAACGGTGTCTGTCTGTGGAATCTGTGTATCGTCAAGGAAAACTGGAGGGCATGTTTCATGTCGAAGCGTAAATGTGATGTGCTGTGATTTGTCTTGATTTAGTCGGATTTTCCATATAGAGTATTTAAATATTGAATAATATCTAAATACATCATTATCTTATTGTAACTATAGCTACAAATTTATTTGTATAAGAATAAGAAAAAAACAAACGATAGATGCATTCAGTGGCATTGAGGGTAGGAAGATATTGTAAAATCCCTAAAGTCGTTTACAGTATGGAATAGTACTATCATTTGATGAATGATATAATAGAAATGTATAATATCAAAAGCTTAGCAAGCATCTGACTGTTTTTTGGATAGTAATTGGAATTGGAGAAAATTGAGTGTGGATATGGAGGGGGAATGCCGAATTTTGATAGGTATTGAATTCCAGAAATTGACAACGCCTCTGTAATTTTCTTTGGTTTGTTGTGTTTGTAATTGTTTTTATCCATTTTCTTATGCCATTTTTTAAAAATGAAGGCCAGAACATGTTTTCGATAAAATGGTTTCAAGTTTACCAATTATTTTGACCTAATGAGTCGTTATATTTTGAGCATTTTTGAAAATCGATTAAAAAAATTATTCTATTAGTTTCAGATATTACTGTGATTTTATTAGTTAAGTACCTACTATTCGTATTTGATACAATGCCCAATGTAGTTCATTGTACTGACCTATGAACTTCTTCGGGCACTGTTCCAAAACTAAATTCAACTTGTGATATGTGTTTCCCACTAAGGACATGGGCTAATTTTACTCCTTTTCAAAGGTTTCAAAATTTTTGGTTTTGTTTCTTGTCATTTCCTAAAATAACGGTTTTGCAAGAATTTCTTTAATTTAGTAATTTGTAAAAAAATCGTCTATTTCTGTCATATAGCTCAGACCATATTTCTAATAAGTATGACTGGGTTGAAGATATAAAATAAGTGAACTCATCAGAGACCTGATGGTAATTTTTTTTTTGGACGCCTAAGTAATCTTGCGAATAAAACTAGAGTGGTTTTGAGTGAGCACATGATCAGTTATCAGGGTCGCGGGAAATCGAATTGTTAAAGCGTTAACGATTGAGGTTTGCCTATAACGAATCGCAACTTTAGAAATTGCATGATTTTAACTGTCAATAGCTATGCGGTCTAGCTATTCTGAACCTCATTTTCTATCTCCAGCCATTTTGTAAGATCTCTGTGTTTAGTTGATTTTGGTCCACATTGTTCCTTTAACTTGTTTTTTACTAAATAATATATAACAAAAAACAAAATATTTTGTTGGTTTCGCTTCGAAATATAGTTGGCCGTGCCTAAAAAAAAAATGCAGCATTCTGGTGGATGGATTTCTTGCATTATTTATTATCTAATTTTTGATTGAGAGTTTAATAGTGATAATTAGTACATTACATTCAAGAATCTTCTGTTGTCTGTACCAATTTTTTTTTTGTTTAAATTTCTTTATTGAGTATTATAACAATCTGTCTGTTGGACATTGGTTATAGTGAGGTAGGATGACATTCACACTATATGTACAAAACAAATAAAATAAATAGAACAAAATAATAATCAAAAGTTTATACAATAGACAATAAAATAAAATAACCTAAAAAATAAGAAAATTTAAACTAAGAAAAAAAAACACATGCATACCTAAGTACCAATTTAAGAACATTAATAGGGTAACACTTATTCAATTGCCTGAACAGTTTTTGTGCAGGTTTCTCATATTTCTTTTGCTTCTTCTCTGTGAAAATATGTCTTTTTTTTCGATGAAGTTCCTCATATTCTCCTCAGTTAATTTTATGCTTAGAATTTGATTTGGTTCTCATGCATAGACGATGTTCAGAGAAATGATTATATGCATTTGTTCAATGATACATTTTCCTTATAAAACATTTTGATATTGGCCTCCTTTTACTTACACCTACTTATTTTCTATTCTTATATTTAGAAAGGAGGAAGTTGTCTTATAACATGGACGGCAATTGTTGAAAGCGTAAAAGATATTACTCTTTGAGAGCTTTCTTGTGAAGGAAGGGGATTCCAGGCTATTGAAAGTAAAAGCGAATCTAACTATGTTCTCAAAATGGAGCGGCTAATCCATAGGATAAAGAGGTTTGTATACGCTAGGGGTCGAACCCCCCTACTTGCATTGGATTTTGGATGGATAGACCCCTAACGATGACATTTCCATCGAGGCCATCCAGCTTCCTGCATCTTTCCTTCTGATTCATCCGTCCCTCTTGCAATGAGTCATTCTGTACCCTGAGGGTTCTTCTTGTCATCAGGGACACATCCGTAGCTTACTGAATACTATTATTACTCCCCTTTCCCTTTTTCACTATATATATATGTGTGGAATGAAGTTCATTTTCTGTGATGAACAACTGTGCCTACTTTCAAAAACTATATACAATTAAAAATAAAATAACCTAAAGTTAAGTAAATTAAAAAAATAAAAACACAGGCATACCTATATACAATCAGGCAAGGAACCCCAAGCCAGACTTTTCGCTCCAAATATATAGGGAAAACCTGTATTCAAGAGATCCCTGCGCTACCCTCTCAACCGCATTACTGGTATTAAGGACGTGTAGAGGCTGAGCAAAGGCGCTATAATCACACATGCATGTGCTAAAGCCAGTGGAAATTGGGCGAGAGCGCTTTAGAGATGAGTGTGTCTTGAGCGGAGAATCTGGCCATTGCCAGAAATTCAAGATTTATACTACAAAGGATCTCTGGGCCGCTGCCACTTCAACCTTAGAGGGGGTTGCAGAGATGAGTGGAACTAGATAGGGATTATGTCGGAGGATTTGGATGATTTGTAAGGTTCTGATGGAATTTGAAAAAAATTTCAGGGATAAGTTCTAGGACAAATGGGATCGACTAAAGAACGGAGCATCGACTATTGTTCGGAAGACTTCTACTTGTTCGAAGAGGAAAAAAATTTGTTAATTTAATAAAATTACTCGTTTTATCATAATTTGTTACATATTTCTTTATTATATTATTTCCCATATTATATTATATTATTCTGAAACGTTTTAACCAAGAATTCGTGTTCATTTACTGTCAACTTGTTGACAGCTAGAAAATTGAGATGACGTGCGAAGATCTGGTGTTGCATCCGATTCGTGTATTATCCACCTGTTGTCTTGAAGCATTGTTTTGTGATGAGACTTGATTTGGTACGTTTAGTGTTTTATTTACGTCGAATGTTTTATTGCATTGAATGTTGGCTTGTTTGTATTCCTTTCTCATTGTATTAACCTAATACAATAAATGTTTTATTGCGGTAAATCATTAGTAACTAAGGAAGGTTCGAATGTTAACATTCGTTAAAATTCGAAAATGATGTTTACTCAGAAAATCATACAACTATCTGATGTTCTCTACGGACTTTTATTACTTACAGTTAATTATTGTATTCTTAACAGAAAATTCGTGAGCCATTTGACTAAGTTAGTTTGTAGTATTGGAAATTTTATTCTAGAGAAATGAAGGCAGTTACTATACCACGAATTTTCCGAAATACTTTGATACAAAACAAGCCAACGTGGAATATCTAATTAGTTCTGACACCCATTTCCCATCTTACCATCTTAAGTAATTTAGGTAATATATACTCGAGTTCATTTGCATCGCATTCTGTATCCTGTGAGCTTCATTGAACAAAGTTCCATTGAATAGGTATAAGTCATCGGAGACTGTCTCATAGCTGAGTCATAACCGTCGAAGATCGATCTGTAAAAGTAGCACGTCTCCCATGACGTTCCTCAACGTTTAGTGGCTGCCAAAGAAATTTATACGTAATATATTTCCCTTGTTCAAGAGGTTTTTACAAATTTATATTCATGAATATTATATTCATATTTATTTAAACATTACTCATTTGATATTTAAATGCTATATTTATTTTCTAATGATTGGTCAATTCAAATTAGATCTCTGTCTTTTCCAATGCGTTCTGATCTTGTTACCTGGCATTTTTAAGTTCTTGTTTCTTTCCCAGTTCTAAACAAAATAATTTTTTATTAGTGGTTAACATATATTTTATTTTCATTCAGTGGTGTATAGGTTTTTTCTCGACTAAATTTTAATATTGCGGCTCGGTTGCCTACTTGCTGGATTTCGCCAGGATATTATTCAAAGCCTTTGAAGAATACAGTAATTGAATTTTCAGGCAGTAAAGATTTATGTATATGCGTAAGTAATGGCTTCCTTGTCCGTAAGTTAGAAGGCTGCAAAGGTTTCTTCGTTCTGTCCATAATAAGGCAGGGATCTGTGTGGCATTGGCACTTCAGATTGTGTCAGGGATATCCAGCGATACTGGTCTTAACTGGTCAGGATAAGTTTTCAAGCACCGGGTCATCAAGTAGGTGTTCTTGTGGTATAGGTTGTTCACCTACGACTTGTTCCCCTACGTATTCCTCCTGCGGAGTCAGTGTTTCTACGAATAACTGGAACGCTTGAGAAAGTATTTGAATATCCGTTATTGATAGATATCGGTGGTGGCTGTAGGTTCTTTGCTATGAAAAAAGATTTGAGCTTATTAATGATTGACAAATTTAAGTTATTCTAGCCGTAGATCCAAGTTGTTACAGCTCTTTTCTTGAAACATACTTGTGTATGGTTATGAACCATACTTGTTTATTAACATTTTTGTATTTTTTATTTATTTATATTTGGAATTTTTTTTATCAAAAAAGTTTGATTGTTCCAGAGTTTAAGTAATCAAGGATGGATTAATGATAGATCGTATTAATCTAAGATTAATATGACTATTAATTAAGAATTAATATAAACTTTTTTCAGTCAAGAATAACAAGATCTTATTATTCACGTCTCAAGTTGTAAGGTGATAAATTGTGCTGGAGAAATATGTTTCAAAAACTCACTCCATTGATTCAAATTGAATTCATATAATCTAATTTATAGTTCAGTTAATTCTAATTAATATAATTCAATTCAAGTTTAATTCATAAACCATTGAATGCCTCTGTCGTTGGCAAGAGATCACATAAGGGCAAAGTGGATAGAGTAGATAGAAAGAGCTGGATAAATAGAATTAACAAAAATTCTATAAAGAGCTACCTGGAGCTTCTGCAAAGCAATAGCCCAATATACGCAAAGGTGGATATGGACATGGCTGATTCAGGCGATCAAAGATTTACAAAGTCTGTAAAACCAAAAGCAGAAACTATGATATTTAGAACAACTGTTAAATATTTAGCCTCCTTTGAACATTTTTGTAAGCTCTGTTTCTCTTTTAACCGCGCTGTTCATCGATGCTAATTCGCAGAAGTTTATGATCTGCTAAAGACGTAAACTCCTATTATCATCGGTACTCCTTTCATCTTCAAGATGTTCATTAAACATCTATTTACAATACGGAACGACTTGTGAAGAAATAACTTAGTCCTATTCCTTGATTTGTTCGTGATTCTCCTGATTGTAATAATTACGTCAGGTACTGTAATTGCTTTTCTTACCATTAGGTTTTATAAATATGAAATCCCCCTCCAGCAAAGAGCTACTTTCTTTAGACGTTTCGAAATCGAGTACTTTTTCCCTATAATCTTGGACCGGAGAGATAGGACGGAGTTTCTATTGCCTTTAGGCGGCAAACGGGGCATCTTTGCCCAAGTAACTGTTCTGATATTTTTCCCGTCGGGCAGAGTTTCCCTTGGAAATTGCTTCGGATTTTCTTCGCATATTAGTTCCACGTTAGTTGTTGGAAGGCTGCTCGTCGAGGCTGTGGGGGAAGGAGGTTGAGCTCTGCTCGCTTCGCTGACTCCTGTGCAATCAAACAGTAGCATATTTAGATTTTAAGCTGCTCCTGTCTGCTAATTAATTAACTTGTTTAACAAATCGTTTAGTTCCATTGCAAATTATTTATAGTTGATTAATTCCTGTCGATTCTGAACTTTTGCGTTTGATGCTGCTTGTCACCATTCATCGAAACACACATTAAATTAAATTCTACTCCATGTTAGATAAATATATTTAAAAAAAACAAACTTGGATTTATATCTATGACTACCTGTGGAATAAAAACAATCATTAATAACAAACAGAGGTGCAAATACGTCAAATATTGGTCATTGTCTTATGTTATAAGAGGGTGTGGACAGTTTGGTTTTCTGTTTGCTGAAGGACAACTAGGCCTCTCAAATTTCCTCCAGGGCTCCTGGGAATAGGTTGAGATGCACTTGCCGTCGGTGGTTATAAATACACAGTCCTCCCCCCCCCACCCTTCTTGCTAAAGGGCAGACCACTTTATTCCGACCTTACCTTCTTGAGTTGGGTATTATGCCTGCACTGTTATAAGTTTTATCACGCGAATTCTAGCTTCAACAGGATTCTGAATGGTTATGGGCGCTATAACTTTTGTAATCAAGATTTATTTTCTTCTTTGAAAACTTATTGATTCTTCATGTCTGCTAGAACAATTGCCTAGAAATCCATATTATTATTAAAATAAAGTTTGTTCTTTTTTTTCTTCTTACTCGATATTTTATTTTATGATGGAAGACAAAAATTATTTTTAAAACATTCCAATGGATATTTTATAATAAATTTAATTTTAAAGTTATTAGAGAAAATTGAAAATAAAGGTCAAGTTTTTTTTTGGAAGGATTTATTTTATATTATTACTTTTTTGATAAAAATGATACCTCTAATTTCCCCCATATTGAGTATTTATTACATGTTACAAAAAAAAAAAAAAAAAAAATTAGATTATAATACTAAAGATGTTGGCGCATATAATTTCCTTTGTCACGTACATATTCACTTTATTTGACACATAGCATTGCAATGTTGAAGTTTCGGGAATATATTTGCCGTGATCAGAACTATTTAGAGTTTTTGTCAGATTAGTTTCTACAAAATAGGGATTAGTTATAAATACATTGTTACCCTAATTATAATGTAAATTTTCCATCACATTCAACTTTTCTTCAAATGACATGTAGCTTGGCGGGGATAAATACATTTTCAACCATTTTTGATGTTTTAAATATTTTGTTCACTCTTTATCGTCCATCCTTAAATTTACTAAATCCTATATTGGAGTTGATGGTGATAATGGACTAATTGCTATTTTCTGTTTTTAAATTTCTGGTCGAGTAGTCTAACATAAGCCATTTACAAGAAAACGTAAACATACAGAAAACAAATAAATGTAAATCTTAATATAATTCATTTTTTGATTTAGCCAAGAATGGATGCTGCAAAAATTTATCGGGAGAGCAAAATCAGATATTTCCAAACATTTTTTGCC